GGCGCCCCCCGCGCCCCCCGCGCGCCCGCGGGGCCCGGCGTGTCTGCGATTAAACGCGAATGCCGTGCTTGGTAAGAATGACACTCAATGGTTGAACACCTCGCGTTAATATACTTCATCAGAGAACTGTCTCAGCCTACGGAAGTCGGGGGAGTGTGAATTATGTACGTTTTAAAAATCTCATGAAACAGAGGAGGATGCTCTGCGTGGACCAGCTTTTGAGGCAGCAATACGAAGTCTCCGGCAACTTAGTCCTGAGGCCTTTGGGGGTTTCTGCCTCTGTCTTATGCCTCTCTGTACCGTGCGTACTGTTAAGACAGAGTGAGATATTCAGCCAGAGTCTAACCTTATGTTATCCATGTTTTGAGAAAAACTTTACTTTTGCAAGCTTTACACTTTTGCAGGGTATAAATGAAAATATATGATGCATGACCATAAGGACACTGTATGCTCACCTGACTCTTTAAAAAATAGAAAGAAGTGAAGGTGATACAGGCTTTAGTTTTTGCTTTTTACTTTTAGTGTAATTTATAACCCTGGTTATTTATAACCCTCCTTTCTGATTCTTTGAAATATCTTAGTTCAGTGTTTTCCTTTTTCTTATCAAGGACAAGTGTTGAAACTTTCAAAATGTCATCTATCAAGCACCTAGTTTATGCAGTTATTCGATTCTTACGGGAACAAAGTCAGACGGATGGTTATACTTCAGATGAACAGGAAAGTTTGGAAGGTAGGCACCTGTTTTTACGTTCATTTGTGTTACAATTATAAGTAAAGACTAAAATAGCTATAAGCCTGATTTTATGATCTATTATAACAAAATTAAAATATTGTATTATCTTTCAAGAAGAGAGACCTAACTATAAGGTTATCATGAGTTTCCATTCTCTGAGGCTTGTGTTGTTTGTTTTAATTAACAAGATGAGAGGACTACTGTTCATTTATTGAGCAGCTATTATGTTTCAGAGCTATGCTATTCCTACTGTAGGGAATTTTACTTCACAGTGACTGCCAAGTTAGCATTCTCCCCAATTAACAGATAAATCAGTGAAACCAGATTAAGTAGCATAACACAGCTACCATGCAGCAGAGCTGAGATGTGAATCCTGGTTCTGCCTCTGGAGATCTTGTTGTCTCTTCCTAATAGAAAGGCACCCAGTTGAGAATCAGTATATGAAAACACCTTAGTCATTATGAAAACACTATGTAAAAGTCTAATAATTATATCACTATTATGCTCCGACAACTTCCTGTTTGGGGACTTGAGAGGACTGCACCCTTGTTTCATGAGCTTTGAATATTAGATTCGGTAATCTGTTCAGCTGAGCAGGACTTGCACGATTGCATCATGTGCTTCCCTGACAGCATCTTTCCTGCCTCCTATTTCTGCACTGTAAAATGTACATTGGTAAAACCATAACAAGATAGAATTCCACACATGGGCTTGTGGAGGGGCAGTGAGCCTAGCTTCCTTGTGGCCTGAAGACTTAATTATTGCCATGAAACAGTGCATTTGGGAGAACTTAAAATACAGTGGAATTTGAATTTCCCATCTTGAAGCTGTTTCTCCTATAAAGGGGACACATCTGTTAATTTTAACAAGCCCTTCCCTTGTGAATATGCTTTCAGGAGGTGGGGATGAAAATTGGGCATTTGCTCTAAAACTGCTTGCACTCAGGTGAGATGATGTTTTTCCAGGTGGCAGTGAAAGAAGCAGGTGACGGAGCTGGAGAACAGTGCAATCTGTCCAGTTACTATTAAGGATGGTTAGAGTGTGTGAAGGTAGAGGTGGCTGGTTGTCTAAGGAGGGTGTTGGTTACGGCTGCTCTGTAGCAAACAGATAAATGCAGGCGTTTAATAAAAGATGTTTCTTTTCTAATCCAAGGCAGTATAATACTTTTAAGGGACAGAAGGAAAATTCAGTTTTTGTTTTTTTAAACCAAGATGTTACATCCTATTTTTAAAATGGTATTTAGCCAAAAATATGTGCCTTCAGCTGTTTGTTATATATGGCATCCGGAAATGGTGCCAATTTTTTTTTGACCAACCCCTATTTTTGACTCTGTGAGTCTAATTTTATTGAATATGAAATCATGTGGCGATGTCTGCCCACCTTCTAGACATTTAAAAAAGCCTTAGAAAAGGAGCATGAGTTCTAGTACCGGCTCTGCCACTGTGATAAGCTGGTGGATTACTGGCTTTGAGCCTTCTCAGTAGCTTGTCACCCACTCCTCCTAACTCATCTGTGGACGACTACCTCGCGTTCTGACTGGTGTGGCTCCTGCTCAGTGTCATCTCTCTAGTACGGCTCCTGTCTTAATTCTTGGCAATTGCAGCATACTCACAGGTGATTCTTCTGGATCCCTTGGCTCTCAGTTTTCCTGACCTTCTTTCTTCTAGTGACCTCAACCACGTGCTCCCTTGGTCCGACCCTGGACCAGTGGTTCTCAGCTCAGAGTGACTTTGCAATGTCTGGCGATATTTTTGACTGTCACGCCCAGGGAGCTAGTATTAATGGCATCGAGTGGGTAGAGGCCACGGATGCTGCAAAACATACTACAGTGAACAGGATGGCCTCCAACAACAAAGAATTATCTAGTCCAAAATGTCAGTAGTGCCAAGGCTGAGAGAATCTTCCCTAAACCTTGTCACCACCTTGGCATTCCCCTCCTAATCTCTATCTTAAACATTTCATTTCTTGACCACTACTACGTGTCTTTCCAGCTCATTCCCTCTTGAATGCCTCGCCACACAGTTCTTCACTTTACCAATACCTCCAGTCTCTTGACCCCTTACCTCTTTCTACCCAGTTTAAATTCCGTAGTTGATCATTGTAATCACACCCTTGTATATCCCTCCCTTCCTTGCAAAACCCAACCTTGTTTAAATCCAGCTCTTCATTTACTCTCTACCTATATCCATGTGAATGTATATAGATGGAGCAAAACACAACGTTGCTGACTGGTCTCACTTTAAATTCATGACCACACACCCTAACTGGACCTTTACTGCTGTCCAGCAGTCACACTCTCTGTTCCAAGTTCAGTCACACTTTTGCTCTCCTACATGACCATTTTAACACTTCCTCATATTTTCTCAACCCCCCAAATCTCCTTCCCTGTACTCACCTTTAGTTGATGGCTTTGCTGCCCACTGCACCAGGACTATTGAAGTAATAAGGAGACAACTTCCACAGACACTCTGCCCCATCTACCCACACACCAGCACCAACACCCACATACTCTGCCTGCCTAACTATCGCCATATGCTGTGGACTAAGTATTAGTGTTCTCCCCAAATTCGAATGTTGAAGCCGAATGCCCGGTGCGATGGTACTGGGAGGTGGGGCGCTCTTCTTTGGGATCAGTGCCCTACGAGAGACACCAGAGATCCCCTTGCTCCCTCCTACCCTGTGAGACACCGTGAGGAGGTACCGTCTGTGAGCCAGGAAGAAGTTCCTCACCAGACATCAGATCTGCTGGCGCCTGGATCTCGGACTTCCAGCCTCCAGAGCTATGGGAACACATTTCTGTTGTTTGTAAGCCACCCAGTCTACGGGATTCTGTTGTAGCAGCCCACATGGACTGAGGCACCATAGATGGAAGTATCCGTTGTCCTTCCTGGTGGGTCCCCTTTACCGGCACACTGGATCCCGTCCTGTCTCACCTGCTGCAGGTTATCACTGTCGTCATTCTACCCTCCTTGTTGTACACCAGCAAAGTTTTCACTTTACGGGGTCCTTTCTTCCATCCGAATAGAAACTTTCCATTATTTGTCCCTTCTTGAGAAAGCAGTAACTACAAACAGCTGCTCTTGCCATATACCGCGGCGCCCCCAACTCCTGCATCATTATGATTGTTCTCATTATTGTTATTTGTATCCCTTTGCGGGAAACTCTGAACGAGTTGTCTGTACTTGCTTTCTCCAGGTCCTCTCCTCTCCTTTCTTAGACCCACTCCAGGCAGGCCTCTGCCTCCATCTCTCCACCCCTGCTTTCCTCATCCAGGTTATCAGTGATTTCTGTGTTACTTCGTTCAGTTCTCAGTTCTCAGTATTCGTCTGGCGTGTTAGCTGCCGTTGATAGAGCTGCCGGTCACTCCCCCAACCCCCTCCCTTCATATACTTTATTCACTGGCTTCCAGGAGACCTGACACCCTGTTCCTTTCTTATCCCATTGTTTGCTCTTCTCTGTCTCCGCTGCTGGTTCCTCCCCTCTCCCCTGACTAGGAGTGCTCGGGGTCCAGTGCCTGGTCTTCTCTTCACTACCTGCACTCACTCTTTTGGTGCTATCATTCAGCGTCTTGGCTTTAAATATCCTTCATTTATATGTTGATATATTTCAGATGTACACCCTGAGTCCAGACCTTTCTTCTGAACTCCAGACTCTTACACAGCTGCCTACTACACATCTCCGCTTGTATGTCTAACAGGCATCTCAGATGGAACATTTCCAGAGCCGAAATCCTGACCCTCCCACCCAAAATCTGTTCTACCCACAACTTTCCTAACGCAGTTAATGCCAACTCGATCTTTTCAGTTGCTCAGGCCAAACACTTTGGCATCATTCTGGACTCTCCTCCTTCTCTCAGACTCTGCATGTAATCATTCAGCAAATCCTGTTGGCTATACCTGCAAAATATGGCCAGAGCCTGACCCCTCCTTCCCACCTCCACTGATACCCCCTGGATAGAACTAAGTGTTTCTCGCCTGTTTCACTGCGATGGCCGCTCACTGGTCCGTCTGCCCCTGTCCTGGCCGCTTCATTGACGATTCTCCACACAAGCGCCAGTGGTCTTCTAAAACAGTGTCAGACGCTATCACTTCTCCATCCAGACCCCTGCAGTCCCTCCTCACGTAACCATTCATTGTCTAAAGGATCTGTGTAATTCGGGCTTCTGGGATGTGTTGTCACACACTTCCCTTTTCTCATTTGGCTGGAGCTGCGCTCCGGTTCCCCGTTCCTAAGGGCGTTTGCTGCTGTCTTTTCCTCTGCCTGGAATGTTCCTTCCCCGGTCATGGTAATACTCCCTTCTTCAAGTTATTGCCAAGCCTCTTTCCTGGGTGAGGCCACCCTGAGGACTCCTGAATCTGCGCCGCCTCCCCACACTCCTGTCCTCTCCCCGTCCCACTTGCTTATTGTGTGTTTCTGCCTCTCCACTGCCTACGAGGATGTCAGCCCCAAGAAGTCAGGGGTCTTTTTTGGCTCATTCACTGATATACCCAAAGAAGCAGGAAAAGCGCCTGACACGTGGTAGGTGCCCAGCACATATTTGCTGAACCGAATCAGGTGATCCTGGCACATCACTCACACGGTCTGTCTTTGTTTCTGAGTTTATTAGATGGTGCTGTCTGCCTGTTCCCTCTAGAGATTTGTGGCAGGTGCCAAGCACATGGCAGCTTTTGAGTGCGGCACCGTAGGGATGGGATGTGGAGTTAGTGAACGGACTTCTCACCTGGCCTCCCTGGTCAAACAGGCCACTGCTGTTTGGTGTTTACATAGAACCGTCGTTGTACACGGTATTTTAAAGCTTTCTGACTTATTCCTGAGTATATCCTCGTGAAATGGCGATCAAATGTTATAATCCCTGTTTCACGAGGGAGAATCTTGAGGTGAAAATAAGACAAAGGACTGCACTCGGTTATTTGAATTGGGGGCTGGTTAATAATAACAGTGAGATGGTCTTGAGTTCCAGGCTGTGGCGGCTTCGCTTGCTGAACCATATGTCTCTCTAAACATGTGTTACTGTCGACCACTAAACATTTTGGCTACTAGGTTTACTTATCAAAACAATTGTGTTTACTTATGTAGAACCTAAAATAGTCAAACTCACAGAAGCAGCAAGTAGAATGGGGGTTGCCAGGGGCTGGGGAGAAGAGGAAACAGGGAGGTGATGGTCCAAGGGGACAGTTTCCGTGGTGCAAGGTAATGAGTTCTGTTCGGCACAGCGCCACAATTCCTCATTGTACAGTTACAGTTTGCTGAGGGGGTAGGTCTCATGTGAAGTGTTCTTACCCACTGCCCCCCACATAATAAAAAGGGGGGGGAGAGGAAACTTTGGGAGGTGATGAATATGTCTATGGCCCTGGTTTCATGGGTATATACTTATCCCCAAACTCATTGAGTTGTGTACGTTAAATATGTAAAGCTTTTTATATATCAGTCATACTTCAGGAAGTGATTTTAACAAAACCCAAACAGTTGTGTTTAAAACAAAACAAAACAGCCGCCACCTCTAACGATACTGAATTGTGTCTGGAGGTGCCAGGTGTGTGCTCTAAGGTGCGTGGCCGCAGAAATCAAGTAACTGGATGGGATTGCTTCACAAGATAGAGCGTCAAGGTCCCTCACAGCCACCATATGGACTTTTCACGATGAGTGTTTAGCTTGTGGAGTTTAGTTGGTGGTTAGTCCGTGTTGAGCTCTGAAGTGTCATACCCTGGTTTTGGTTCTATCCACATTTTATGTGGCTGTGAATTAGCATCTTTAGGAGAGATTGTTCCATAGATTTTATTGTTTTTCTGTAATTAAGCTTTTACTTCCACTGTAAACAGAGAAGTAGATGAAATGTTTTGAGCATCTGCTGCTTCCCAGAGCCTATTAAGGTCAAAGACGAATGAGACGTAGGCCTTATCCTCAGGGAGACAGTCTAATAAGAGAGATGGACATTCAAGTACATGTAGTGTATGTAGCGTGACCAGTACAATAACAAACATGTACCAGCTACGTGTCAGGCAAAAGGAATGACCAGTCTGATCTGGGAGGAAAGATACTGATCAGGGATAAATATATATGTATACATACACATTTATTATTTATCGTCATCAGTATTATTATTATTGTTATAATTAACTGTCTTAATGGCAATGAGACACTGTTCTCTTGTGGCCCAATGTTTTTAGTGCAAGTACAACTGAAGTGTAAGATCACACTGCTGGAGTCCTGGCTGGGTAGCTCAGTTGGTTAGAGCATCCTCCTGATACGTGAGGTTGCGGGTTCAATCCCCAGTAAGGGCACATGGAAGAATCAACTAATGAATGCATAAATGCAGCAACAAAGTGGTGTCTGTCTGTCTGTCTCTCCCCCCATTCTCCTCTCTCCCCCTCCTTTCCTTTCTCTCTAAAATCAGATTAAAAGAAAGAAAAAAAGAACAACGGCTTGGCAGAAATAGAAAGGGAGAGAATGAGGGATAGGTGGTAAACAGGTTATTTTCTATCTAAAAGACACTTTAACTTTTTGTAGTTGGAAACTTAGTTGCTTATCCAGTCCCTTTTCTAAGGAGAATTGTTTCTGTGGATAGTAAAAGTAATGATGCTTCTATTGTGATTGTTTCCTCAGGACCACAATTAATACATACTGTATGCAAATATAAGTGAATCTATTCCACGCTGTCTGGGAGTACACTGGACCTTCTGGCCACATTCTTACCTTGTCGGGCCTCGAGAGCTTTCCTTTTCAGACAAGAGCTCCAGGGGGATGAGAATCTGCCTCCGTTTCCCTCAGCGGGGACCCGTGGGGAGGGCAGAATCCACTTTCTTCTCAGCAATCGCCCTAGTTCAGACTCCTTGCTGGTTTAGACCAGGGTGGGGAACGTCCCGCCGTATAAGGCCCTGGAAATCATCTGGTCTGGCCCTGCCCAGGCAACCGCAGGCGGGACTTGAAATTCAATAAACCTAGGAGCTTTTTTCACAGCTAACTTACAAGTTGATGATTTTGTATAGCCCGAGAATGATGTTATAAATATCCAAATGGCCCTTGGCAGAAAGCAGGTTCCCAGCCCTGGTTTAGTCCATTTAAATGGGAACCGCTTCACAGGTTTTCCGCTCCCAGTCTCTCCCTCAGCTTCCTTCCCTCCCTCTCATCCGTTCTCAACATTCCTACCAGGCTTCCATTCTGAACGCAGATCCCGGTGTCACCCTCCTAAATTCCCTCACAGCTCTCCACCTGCCTGTAGCATTGAGTCCACACCCTTTAAAAACGTTACTTAAGGTGCCTCGTCCCCCGACAGACTTCCTCTCGCATAGTCACCCACTGTGTCTCCCGCCCAGTCCCTACCTAGCGGTCCACCAAAAGCAGACGGTGACTGGCTTTGGCAGCAGCGGATGTAATCGGACACCGAGAGGTGTGAGTGAGTCACGTTGTCCTCCCTCGGTGGCTGGTCTACAACCAGAAACCTCTGCGGCTGAGCCACCCTCCTTAGGCTCTGTCACCGTACATGCTGAGTTACCGCGGATGGCGCAGAGTGCGGATTCCTACCAGGAAAAAAAAAGATTGTTTCTTTCTTAGGTTGCTCGTTTTATTTTCACTATTAAAATTTGTTTCCAGTTGCAATTCAGTGCTTGGAGACAGTCTTTAAAATCAGCCCAGAAGATACACACCTGGCAGTTTCGCAGCCTCTGACGGAAATGTTCACACGTTCCTTCTGTAAGGTGAGCCTCCTGGTTTTCTCATCAGTATCTGACTTAAGCATGATGATGATGTTCCCTTGGACTGTTACTATTTGAGGGGCCAGGCCTGTAAGTAAGTAACTTCTTTCTGGGTATAAGACAGTCCACATGGATCTCATTTGTGACCTAAAATATAATTCTTTTCATGTGCTTTAGATTTTCGTGTTATTAGCTAGACTCTCACCTTCTTTTACACTTAATATGCCTTAGTTGACTTTTTAGTGTCAGAGCATTTTTAGATTCCTGACACTTGAATTGACATTCCCCTAAAACATGAACCACAAGTTAAAAATAAAAGGTTTAATGTTTAAGAAGCATCCACGTAGAAATAGATTCATCAGAAATTGAATTTTCATTTTGAAGCAGGTGTCATCAAATTTCGCCATGGATGGGCTCTTTAAAACAGGGAAAGGTTAAAAATCACAAGCCCGGCCTGGTGTAGCTCAGCAGTTGAATGTCAACCTAGGATCCAGGCAACCAGGGTTCGATTCCCAGTCAGGGTACATGCCCGGGTTGCTGGCTCGATCCCCAGTCGGGAGCGTGCAGGAGGCAGCCGATCAATGACTCTCTCATCATTGATGTTTCTCTCTCTCTCTCCCTCTCCTTTCCTCTCTCTGAAATCAATAAAGATATATATATTTTTAAAAATCACAAAATAAAACAGGGACAGCTTTGGGGTCAATGTGCAGAACTGATTGAAATCTAATTTTGATTCCTCCTCCCCAGAACTGTTTATGTCTCTGGTTTCTGGTCTTTTCAGAAAACATGGGCCATAAGATTGTCTGAAAAAGTCTAAGGTTAGTGAGTTTGGGGCCCCTGGTGACATCCCATGCGTTTTTTCATTTCATTTTGGTGCCTCATGAACTTTTGGTTTTCTAGCTGTGTGTTCAAGCTTCAGTACAGAAAGGGAACTAGGGGAGAAGCTGAAACATGTAGTGTGTGTTCAGCCTTGCAGGGACGTTGCTGAGATGCCACAGCGACTGTTTCTAGACCTCGTTGGGAAGGGGCTCTTAGAGTTGCAGTGAAGATGGTAATTTGGCAATAGTACACTGCTCCCTCTTTTTATGCTTGGAAAACAATAATACAGATTCAAGCTACCCTTGAATCTGCCAAAGAGGGACAGTGCATGTCTCTCTATTCCTCATCAGGGAATTCCTTTTTTTTTTTTTTGGTTGCTGGTGTTCTTTCATTGACTGGGCTTGTGGCCTCCTTAGGGATCCCCGTTTTCAGTGGCTGGATGTGGCTATGGTTGAAACTGACCTTTATGCTTAGACACCGAGAGGCCTGTGCTTGAAACAGCACTTGTGTTTGCTCGCTCTTTCGCTCCTGGCACTGCTCTATCCAGTACTGAAGAGAGCAGGACGTTTTTGCCCATCTCCCAGGAAGCTCAAGTTGACGTTTACATGTTGTTTAAATAGAACTCCCCCCCTCATTTTTCTTTGTTTTTAATTGTAAAAATTTGTTGCTTTCTGTATTTAAAATACAGCTTTTGACAGTGGCTCCATTGTATTTCTGTAAAGTGTTATTTGTGGAATCAGTCCATTAGTATTCCTATTTAATAGCTGTGGCTTCATTACATATCTGTTTGTTAGCAGAGTATGACAGAGAAAGTCTAAAACTTGTCTGCAGCCCATCAAGATTGTTATAATTAAAGAAATTGTCTCACCAAGTGTACTTGGTTGTTACATTGGTTATTTTTATTTTTAGGATACTGTTTTTCCCCTTAATTGAGTTAATATACTAATACATTCAATTAATATGTGAACCAGTTTTCAAAGTTGTAAAACATTGGCAATTTTATTAAAGTAACTCAGAAAAATTTAGAAGACAGATTGGATTATAATCCATTTTTCAACATGCCTTTTTTTCTGATCCCCAAACTCACTTTTTTTTTTGTGCATGAATTGCCTAAGCTTGTTAGAAGACTTGAAATAGAAGGACCCTAAGAACAAGTACTACAGGGTAGTACTGTGTCTTTGAACTACATTTCTATCCTGAATGATTGAACTACATTCAATCCTGAATGATTGACTATAAGTCAGTTTTAGTAGTGACCACTAAAGGTTCTGATTTTGATTCTATACTTTTTTATCCCAATATTTTATGTTAGAAAAACTGCTTAGTAGAGATTTTTTTTTTAAAGAACGACTCATATACTTTATCAGTGATTTTGTACTTGTGAATATTTGTGTGTGATTAACAAAATATTTTCCAGTGATAGAGCTTTCAAGTTTATAGACACTCTAGTCAAGACAAAGTAATGGTGAATATATCTTAAATACAGTACATAGGTATATTGGCTACAAATTATGTTTTCTTGAAAACTGTAGGCCTATTTATGAACTTCAGAGTCAAGTTTAAAAGCAACACAGTGGTGGTTGTGGGGGATGGGAGGGGGCTGGGGGCGTTGAGGAGAGTTTGGGGGCTAAACGGTGGTGGACAGAGACTTGACCTGGGTGGTGAACACACTACAGTGCACAGGTGATGTGTTGTGGAATTGTGCACCTGAAACCTGTGTAATTTCATTAACCAGTGTCACCCCAATCAATTCAATAAAAAGGGAAAAAAGAAATAAATGGTTAAAGATACACGGTACTTGAAGTTTTGGGTGTGAAGAAGTAACAGGGACCAGATTTTCCCTTCTAGCTTTTTAAAAAATTAAAAATAAATAAGATCTTTTAAAAGTGGAAAATGCATGTGTTTCCAAGGTAACTCAAGGTATTTGTAAATTTTCATTTAGTTTGTAAGTGCCTTTGGTGTAGACCTTATTAATGCATAAGAATTTTGAGGATGATTGTAGGTGCTCATCAGAAATTTTATACCATTTTCATGTTATGATAAAATTAGTACATACCCATTGTTTTAAAAAAATTGGACAATATGAAAAGATAAAGAAGAGACTGAAAATTTTATCTCCAAATATTACAACTCTTAACCTTTTGTGTACACCCTTCCAGTCTTTGTTTTTTAGCCTGTGTGTGTGTACACATATTTAAATAATAGGATCATACAGTAAATACTTTTGTTGGTAAATTGTGAATTTGACTTACTAAGATATCTCTTAGGATATTAAACATTACCTCTCAAAATTTTCATTAATATAAACAATCCCATAAAAATAAACAATCCCTTGAGTATATTTCTATTCCCATTTTTCATATACTGATTCCATATTTTTGTTCATGAAGTAGGATTTCTAGGTATAGGGAAAGCAAGTAAAAAAAATAATTGATTCACAGTTGCCCATTATCTTCTAGAAAAATTCTACATACACTCTTTTCCAATAAAAGTACGTGATGGCTTTCCCCCTGTTCTTGCTAGCACTGTGATTTAGGTGTTAGGTTTCATGATGTGGAATTACAGATGATTTACCATGGTATGGGTAATCCATTAGTACATTACTTAAAGTTCTTTGGGATGACTTCTAATGTAGCTAAGTGGAAGTATATTAATTTTTATTTATTTTCAGAATGACACTCTGCCTCTCTCAAACTCAGTACCTGACGATGTGGGAAAAGCTGACCAATTAAAAGATGAAGGTAAATATTTCATAAAAAAATTACTTGGTAAAACTTTCTGAAAGTCTGGTGAAAATGACTCTATCAATTGATAAAATTCTGGTTTACACAGTGAAAGAGAACTGAAAGCGATAGAGCCCGGCTGGCGTGGCTCAGCAGTTGAGCATCAACCTGGGATCCAGGAGATCACCGTTTGATTCCCAGTCAGGGCACATGCCTGGGTTGTGGGTTCAATCCCCAGTGGGGGTTGTGCAAGAGGCAGCTGATCGATGATGTATCTCTCTCTCTCCCTCTCTCTCTCTAAAAAAAAAATCAATTAAAACATATTTAAAAAAAGAAAAGAAAGTGGTAGAGAAGGAGCGCAAGTAGAGGGCGTCTGCGGGCGGTATAGGTGTGACTTGCTTCAAGAGAACCAGACCCACTGTGCATAAAGCCTGCAAAACGAATCACCTGAGGGCCATGACTTATAACTGTATTTGCTGTGAATACTCTAGGATCCCGGATTCTTCTTTATACTTAATCAAATAGATGAGGATAATTTTCTGTATTATTTTAACTCACGTATATTTATTGTTTTTGAGTTCTTTGAAATTTGTTAATCCATGCATATAGAGCTTGACCTAAGTGTTTATTAGTTAGCACATCTGCTTGCTACAGTATTAGATTTTCTAACAGTGAATATTAGATTTTCTAATAGTGAATATTAAAACCAAGCACTCTTGGTTTAATAAATATATCACAGTTGTGTGAGAACGAATGGCCATGGTAGGTTGTCAAGCACAGGGTCACTCAGGCCTGCATGTTACACTTCCCTGTGTTAGTTGTGTCTTCTGGCCAACTGGTATCTTCCTGCAAGGTTGCTTTCAGATATTTTTGTGTGCTTTGCTTCTGAAGAGCGTCTGTAAGATCAGGTGAAACCCAGAAGAGTTCATTGTTATTCCCTGATACGGCACAGAAATATTGGCATATCTAATAGGGTTGTTTTGATAATTGAAGGAGACCATTTTATAGGAGAGTACCATGCAACTATAAAGTGCTGTCCAATGCTTAGTTATATTTATCTTCACAAAATTCACCATTGGTGTCCTGAAGTTTTGCATATTAAATACTTTGTAACTTGAAGCTTTTTCTCATCAATATGTATAAATGTATTTATACACGCAGTAATATATACATTATAGTACCTATATATTTGAGGTGGTTTATAGGAAAAGACATACAAGAGGTTTTAATAAAGTGATAAAAATGATAATAAAATGCCAACCCAAGTCAAAAAGTTCCATTGACAACAAGGAAATCCCAATAATCCAGAGAATGCAAGTCTTTTACATGGAAGGAGCAAATCTGTTTAAGTGCCTGTGCTCATGCAGTGAACTCACTCATGTAACCATGAAAGCTACATGACCCTCTTCTTTTTGGGGGTGGGGAGAAAAAGAATTTCCTTAACCTTTAAAAAACAGTCGTATTGAGCTATAATTCACGTACACGTGGCTCACTCCTTTAAAGTATACAGATTCATTGGCTTCTAGTATATTCACAGAGTTGTATAGCCATTACCATAATTATGGAACATTTTTAATACCCCCCAAAGAAACTGAGTACCCATTAGCAGTCACTCTTTGCATTCATTTCTGATTCTTAATTTGCAGTAACTTTTTATGATTTTAGATCCTTTTATCTACCTGCATTAATTTAATGTTCCTTTTTCTGTTCCTGCAAATGTACACTCCCTCTCTGCCCATTAATTAGCTAATGATCTATTAAAAAACAAACCTGATAGGAGAGCTTCTGATTTAGAGGCAGCTGGGAGGAATAATAGAGCCTTTGGAGATAAAAATCCTTTCTCCTAATTCTAGTGTTTTAAAATTTTTAATTCTGTACAAAGAACCAAATTGGATCTTTTTTCTGTTTGATGGAATACAAATGATAGCCCCAAGAAATCCCTTATTTTATTGACCCGTTGCTAACCTCGCTAAATGATTGCCTGGTGTATCTGCAGACATGCTTCCTGAAAACCAGTACCCTGTGGGCTAGCCATGGTATCTGAAATTCTGTCTTTCTGGAAATTAATGTCTAATAATCTTCTTTTCAAAAGAATCTATGTCTGGAAGAGAGAGCACACAAAAATATTATCTGCCAGAAACATACTCACATGATCAGCTCCGCCAGCTTACCCACGCAGCCGTGGGGAAGGCCTGGCTGCTTGGCAGATGGACGTTTTGACAGGGAAGGAGTGCAAGGTGAGGTCTAGATTGAGGTGATTATCGAGGAGGGTGTTGCATTAAGATGCTGTTGGGCAGCTTTAAAAGAAAGGAAAGAGATGAAGATCACAGTGAGAAGAGATTCCAGTTTTGCCATGAGATAATCATAATTGTTACATTTACTCACTGATTGAAGCCTGGGTTTTATAAGATACACAAACATTAATTTTTTTTAAGACTCCACATTGTCAAAATCATTCAAACACACTGAAGGGTAAGGAACATTGACTATCGTACAATATAAAATTTATCTCCTGTGTAACTGAAAAATCATGTTGCTCCCCTTTGTATTATTGGAGTTTCTGAGATTAAAATATATCTTTCAGACTTTATATTTGTCCTGTATATGATTCTTACTGTACCCACTGATGACTTTATTTTAGGCAATAACCACATGAAAGAAGAAAATTACGCTGCTGCAGTGGATTGTTACACACAGGCGATAGACCTAGATCCAAACAATGCCGTTTATTACTGCAACAGGTAAGCTGGCCTCATTGTGGCAGGTTTACAGCTCCAAAGACTTGCATGAATAGCTCTGAAGGAGAACTGTAAAATTTGTGGATAAAGAAGGAAAACAATAAACTCAAAACTCATAAACTTAGCATTAGAGGCAACCTTTTACTAACCTTTTGGCAAATTTTGTTTGATGTAAGTGTAATCAATTTTAGACTCGGCTTTATTTACTCGGTATATCATAAACATGCTCTTCCTTTACTGAAATCCTTCATGGACACTGTTTAAATTGATATCAGTTAGTCTGTTATTACCTCTTCATCTTTTTTATATTTTCAGCACCTACCATTATGGCTGGCAAACTAGCACTCAGTGTTCTTTTACTAAGTGGATAGATGTACCTTAATCTACTTAACTGTCTTATGTCCATGCATTAAACAAGATTCTTGGCAATACCTATACTTGCTTTTCATTTAATTATTGTTAACTTGGAATCAATAACTATGCTTCTCTTTTGTATTTAAATAATATCTTTCCCCCTGAGGAGCTCAGTAATAGGGCATGCAACTTAATATTATATAATTAGAAGACTTAATTTGCATATTTAATACAAATATTGAATAAAGCTTTAGGATTTAAGACTCTAGTAGCCATAAATCTTTCGATCTAAATCTTCCTTTTGATATTAAATTTTTACAGTTTTATTACTAATCATAATATTGTTCACATATTAAACTCAATAAAATGAATCAAAGTTTACTGTTATAGAAGTGACTTTTGTGTTAGAAAACACACAGTTGGCACATTTCTTGAGCATGGGCCTTTCTCTTCTAGCATTTACATTCTGTTTTGACCTTTTAGAACCCTAATCATGCTTTAGACTCTGTTTGGATACAAGAAAAACCTGAGTCCTTTCTTGAAAACATGTTATTTATTTTTGCTTCTTTCCTGTACTCCTAGCATTTACCATGATATGTAACATTTATTTAAGTTTATCATGTGTCCTTCCTTATAGTTCTATGCATACTTGTTTTATTTATTCAGGTGAAGGGTAAACTGGATCTTGTATCTATTTGTATCTCCTATAGTACCTAGTACTGTGCCTCAAAGGAGTTCAGCCAGTTTTTTTGTTGGATGCAACATGCTGTAGTCATGTTGATGTGACCAGGCACTCACACTAACACTTGCATGCATAGAGCAACAAATAATTGAGGATAGGTCTAAAACGTTTCTAAGCAGTTTTTGATATGAAATTATATTTTGTATTAAACTAGTTAGTTTTCTATGTCTTCTGTTTCTAAACAATATTGTTATTTCTCTTGCACAACTTCATTGCTGAGTACATTACTTTACCCATAGTAGTCTTATGTTTCTGGAATGGATGGACGGTTGAATGACTGAGGCAATAAATGGAATTAAAGATACTTAAGGAAAGAGAGAGACCATGTTGGAAAGAATTTGTCTGGAAGGCCTCTCGGGTGATGGGGAATTTGAGTTGGAGCTGGATCTTATGGATAGGTAGAACTAAGGTAGAGAGAGGAGAGGGGAAGGAATTTTAGCTTGGAGAGTACGGTAGTTTAAAAGGCAAAACTGGGACTGATCAGGGCATTGTACCAGGGAATGCTAGTGACATTGTGACCTATGAGGGAGATGGGAACAGGGACGACATTGTTTTGCATTTTGTTTTGTTTTTGCCTCCATAAGCACTGTAGTCATTAGGTTCACTGGGATTTGTACTTGGTTTGTTGAATTTGGAGTTAATCTCGGTTTGGCCACTTACTGGCTACGTCACCCTGGGCAGCCACTTAATCTTTTTGAACCTCATTTCCTCACTTGTAAAATAGAGATAATAATAGCTGTGAGGAGTAATAATATAAAGTCTCTAGCATACATAGTCCTAGGCTTTCAATATATTTCTTTCAGAAACTGGAATTCCTAGTTGTAGGAACAGGTTTTTGCTATAATTTATGCGTGATATATACAGGGTGGGGGAAAAGTAGGTTTACAGTTGTGAGTGTGCAAAACAGAGTTTATTCTGTGTTACTATTTATTTATTATTGTTTTCCATCTGAACAACTGTAAACCTACTTTTGCCCCACTCTGTAGTATGGGAAAGGTAAGGTACCTGTGATTTTCTTTCTGCCTTATTTTCCATAAAAATAGAGCACAAGTAAGATCCATGCTCTCGCTCTAACAAGCTAAGGAGAGCGAGGTTGCTGGAAGCATGGTGACTCTAACTGCATTGTTCTGCTGGAATTTCATTAGTTCTGCCCTGATGACCAGGCGCAGGGCAGGCGGAGCGGGCGGACGCAGAGTGTTCCGTGCGGGCCCTGGCGCGCTGGCGTCTTCTCTCGGGAGATTCGAATGCAGCCCGACTTCCTTCCCTCCTCCAGCCTCAGGCTCTTTCTCCTGTGAGCCACGGGAGTCCGCCTTCTTCCTGGCTCACAGCGGGTGACCTGAAGCCAGAGGCATCAAGAGGGAAACAGTCTCCCCTTCCCTCCCACCCGCGCAGTGCTCTCCTTGTTTCCTCATCAGTGTCTGAAGCTGTGATCAGGGTCTTCCTGTTCCCTTTTACCTCCCAGACAGCCCCTTCGTTCCGCCTCCGTTTCCATCTCTGCTCCCTTAGTCCAGCTTCTTCACGTTGGCGGAACAAGTGGCTCCCCGTTTCTACCTGCACTCCCCACTCCGTCTTCTGCCAAAAGGCTCTTTCTAAAATGCGCAATTGGTCATCTCGTTCTTGCTTTCCGCCCGCTGGTTCTGAATACCTTCATGATTGGATGTAAGCTCCCCAGCACGATACATAAGATCTTCATAATCTAGGCTCTTTTTTCCTTTTAACTTTATAATCTTCACTTTTTCCCTCCCCCGTTCCTCTTCTCTCTACTCTGTGCACATGGAATATGAAATTTACCGACTAAACGAATACGGTGTTGCGCCCTCTCTCCATGCCTTTATGTACCCTTCCTCTGCGCAGACGATTTCCTACCTTATCTAGTCGGTCAGCTGCTAGTCACCCTTCACGACGCTGGTAGGTGCTGCTTCTCTTGGGAAGACTTTCTTAATTTTTTCTGTCCCCAGCCTCCTGCCCCTTCCCCGCCGGGTCCTATGGAGTGGTGCTGCCCAGTATGGTAGCTTCTAGCCACGCGTGGCCGTTCAAATGTAAAGGCATTAAAATGAATAAAGTAAAACAGTGAAGTAAAAGTGCACTAGCTTGTTTCAAGTACTCTTCAGTCACGCGTGGCCGGGGTGACTGTACTGCAGAGCACAGATAAAGAACCTGGCTGTCACAGAAGCTCTGTGAGGCAGCTCTGCGCAGGGTTAACCACACCTTCCTCTGTCGTCTCTTCCTTTGACATTTCCTCTGTCGTGCTCCTGATGCTACGTATTTATTTATTCACATGTCTGTTTCCCTATTAGACAGTGAAAGGTTGGAAGGCAGAGATATATTTTCCTCATCTCTGTGTACCTGGTTTTGAGTTCAGGGTTTGGCGCATTGTAGATGTTCAGCAAAGGTTAGGGTTGAATTGATTCAGGGGATTTTAGACGGGAGAACTTGAAGACTCCTAATGGTGGAGGAGCCTGTTTTATGTGTCTGTATGTACAGTGTTTCCTCATATCTCTGTAAAGAAGAGCTTTCCTAACCTTTCTCCCTTTTCCACTTTCTTCCTCCTAGCCCTCCCCCAACTTTCTTAGAGTAATTATGGACTTAGGAATTTTTAAAAATTCACTATTCAATGTGTTATAACAAATTACCATAATTATTATTTCTGTACTTAAGTTACCCCATATCTGGCTAGTGGCAGCTCCTCTAAACTGGCTGTGTCCTCTTATGTAACTTCATTTGTTTTCTAACGCTTTCTTGCTTTCCGAGACAAGGTATTCCAGATTGGCTCTGTATTTTCTCTGCCCTAGATGTGGGCCCAGCTGTTTCTGTAAGTAGCCCCTGTTGCTTTTCTTAGAGAGTGGTACTTAGAAACGAAGGCCTGATTGTAAGAGGTGATCATTGCTACTGAAATGTTGCTGCTTCTAGGTCCTTTCAGTGGACAGAGCTAGGAAATATATTGTTTTCAAAAGTCTTCAATTCATACAGATGCCTTCCATTCACATTCCAGTGCCACAGAGATCTCCCTCACCTCACCCATTTTCCATTTTCTCTCTCCCTCTCAGAGCAAAACCCCGGTTTCCTGACATCGTCAGTATCGTTACTCACTAGCTCTGTCCTCTCTCCTTCGGCTGGAATTATAGCGCCCGTGTTACCACATTAGGATGTCTAGGTGGGCGTCAGGATTTCTTTGCAATTACTTTTGTCCTCAGAATACATCTCACTAAGGGTAGGCGTGCAGGGTCCTGTGCTCGAATGTTACTTGAATACTTTTTCTTTTTTAAAATACCCAGTTAGGATCATTCGTTCCAGTTATTCAGGTGGAAGGTCTGCGTTTTCATCCTTGCTGAAGTCTCACTCCCATTTCTATCCCCTTCCCACCAACCCTCCAGGACTAGAGACTTTCAGTATGTGACTTCTGAGCCACGTAAATGTTTTCCTTAAAACTAAACTAAAACGGATGATCAGTAAGTAATGACTCTGTCCTTAGTAAAGCTCTCGGCCTTACGTCTGATGTTTCCGCACCGGCTTTCTTGCGCTGGGTTTTCCGTTTGCCTGATTGTCTTTTTCTGTCCCCTTTAAACTTCAGCCTGTGTGTGACCATGTTCTAAGTGACGTCTTATGTATACAGTTTGAGAATGTGACTTCCATGTAGGCAACTCTGTGATTACTTAGATATTTGAATTGTTTTGTGCTGTCTTACTTTTTGGCTTCTTTTCCTTCCCCTTCTTCCCCCCTCTTTTATTGTTATTTTTACTTTATTTTCTTTCTAATTATTTGGAGGTGACACACTCTCCATCTCTTCTTTCAGTGGTCATCCTTGTCACAGTGGTAGTTTGTGTCGAGCATTCAGTCAGACAGATCCACATCTCTTTTCCATGTGAACTGCCTAAACAGGATTGTTGAATTCTGTATTTTCACATGTAATTTTTTTAACTGAAGCAAAGATGACTCTGTTTATATATTTTTTCAAGTTTTATCATCTTAGTTTGAGAAGTAAGGGTCTCAGTCATGCTGTAAGAAGAAAGGTTGACGGACAGTTGGATTCACCACCACCTTTCTTTATAGCCTGCCAGCTCGAGCACTCTCGAGGCCAGGAATATTATTTTGATGACTGCCCTGTTACCCCTAGAAAAGTATCTGTGCCTTAGCTAGCCCTCAATAGATGTATTAGTTGAATGAATGAAGTAGAAACATTTAGTCTGGAGAGGAACAAATAGGGTAGTAGTGAGATGCAGCACAGGAGACATTTTGGAACTTTTCAGTTTGAAGGAATTGTGTGTTGAACAGAAATGCTACTTGTTACGGCCCTGAGGGTGGAAGTCAGGACTACGATAGGGAAACAGAGAGCTACCTACTCTCAGGATCGTGTGGAGGGGTAGTGAGTGGCTTTATTATACTGTTAGGTCCCCATTATTCCAGACAGTTTGTTAGACATAAACTGGAAGGGGTTAAAAAGTCCTTAATTGTGCTGAGATTCTCTGTTACGTAGATGGAATACATTGCCATCCTTAATTTACAGCCAGATTTAGGTGCATGGTTAAATGGGGTTTTTCAGTTTGGATTTGTCCAGTGATCTTGATGCTGCCAGCATAGTGATCATCGAACAGCACAGTGCCGAGGAGCCGTTCACAGCAGTCACTCACTCTGTGTGCCTCCCTGGTAATCCCAAATGTCCTAGCGTTTTCAGTTTTCTGTTTGGGCACATTAAGAAGGAAATAAGGAGGTCGATCAGTTGTATGGCTTGCACATTTTGTCTTTTCTATAGCAAAGCAAACAGTGAAGGGCAGCTTTCATATTTTCTCTGACTTTGTTTCTGAGTTATTTGATTATAAAATTCTCTTAAGACGGTTTGACTTAGGTGTTTACTGGGAGTGATACATTGGGACAAAGAAAAGGTAGTTGTATTAGAACCTGAGGATCTAAATTAGGGCCTTGAAGGATGCTTATAATAAAAAAATCTCTTCTCTTTCTCTTAGGGCTGCTGCTCAGAGTAAGTTAGGTCACTACACTGATGCAATAAAGGACTGTGAAAAGGCAATAGCGATCGACTCAAAGTACAGCAAGGCCTATGGGAGAATGGGGTAAGTTCTGGACAGTGATCAGAGCAGTACCGCGTTGTATCAGATACGCTGTTCTGAATGGCTTGCGTTTGAATTTTCTGCTTAATACTGCATCCTCTCAACTAACGAAGATAAATATAACACCGGGGGAGGAAATAACTGCAGTGTCTGTGATGTGGGAGAGAGATGATTAGTTGTATGAAGAATGGTTGGTTGTTGGAGAAAATCATGTAGCCAAAATGAGTAGATTCGCTTCACGTTCAAGACCACAGACCTCAGGAGTGCTCAGTGTTTTTGCAGACAGTCCTGCTTCCTCCTACGCTCACCTTACCACTTTGGGAGCTGACTGCTTCACACCTGCTCCTCTCCAGATTTCCCCTGCACCCTGCATGGCAACTCTCCGCTGATGATAATGCCTTATACGTAACTGGGAAAATGGATGCATTCAGAAGAAAAGCAGCTCATCTTCCTCTGGCCAAATCCACCGATCCACCTGCCTTTGTCTACACAGACTGCCTCTTCTGTTAAGGTGGAAGGGTTCTCACCTGAGGCTGTCGCCGTCATTCACGCTTTAGCTCTCATCCCTCCGGGCCTTCTCCAGGACTTTGCACTTCGTCTTCGGCAACACCAGCTTTCCTGTCCCTCACAGCAGTAGGGACTGCAAGTGGAAAGGCCACAGAGCCATCGATTGGAAGCACCCTTGCACACGGCTGCACCATTTCTCAGTTCCTTTCTCTACAGAGCCCCATCGCGGTCTGCGCTTCCGTAGCCGTCTGTGCCTCCCGTCTCATCATCTCCCATGCTCCCTTCAGCGCATCCTGAGAGGGCGCTTGTCTATATCGCTCAGTGGAGAGCTCTGTTCAGGGTCACCAGTTGTCTGTATTTTGCTAAGGCCAAAGTTCAGTTCTGTATCCTCACCCGCCCATCTTTAGGATTTGGCATGATTCAGTTGTTTTTGAAGTACTGCACGCTCTAGGCTTGTGACACACACTTCCTGGCTTCCTTCTGTGTTACTGGGTGCCCCTTCCTAGTCCTCCTTACTGGGTGTTCCTTCTCTGCCCCTCTAAATAACGGTGCGCATCAGGGCTCTATCTTCTGCGCTCCTGCTGCCTATTCTCTCTTCTGATTTCATCCTGCCCCGTGCTTTTATATTCCATTTAAAGTCAGTGCTCACTGCCTGCCCAGCGTGGCTCAGTGGTTGAGCGGCCACCCGTGAGCCAGGAGATCTCAGTTCGATTCCCGGTCAGGGCACATGCCTGGGTTTCGGGCTCGATCCCCAGCAGGGGGCGTGCAGGAGGCAGCCGGTCAGTGACTCTCTCATCACTGATGTTCCTCTCTCTCTCCCTCTCCCTCCTCTCTCTGAAATCAGTAAAACATATTTAAAGAAACATAAAGTCGATGCTCATTATTCATGGATTCTGTATTTATGAATTCACCTACTTGCTAAAAATTTTTGGTAACCCCAAAATCAAGTCACTGTGCTTTTGTGCTCATTGTGGTGAAACACTTGAGCCACCTGATGTGCAAGACCTCAGCTGAGGCCGGATAAGGCCACACTTTGCCTTTTTGTTTCAGCTCTCATGCTGCAAACAAGTGTCCTTTGTGCGGTTTAATGCTATATTTTTTGCATTTTTGTGCCTTTTGTTGTTAATTTCCCTGTTTACAATGCACCCGAGTATAGAATGAAGTGTCTAGTGTTCCTCAGCACACGAAGGCTATAATGTGCCTTACAGGAATACTTGTTAGATGAGTTTTGTTCAGGCTTGAGTTAGTGCTGTTGGCTGTGAGTTCAGTGCTGATGAATCGGTGATATATATTTAGGCAGGTTTCTTTAAGCAAGAGTAGGTCTTGATCAGTTGATTGGGAATGGTGTGACCCAAACCTCACAGGAACCTAACCCTGTTTTCCTCTGGAGCAGCTGTTCCGTCCTTGCGAAACCAGCGTCTGTGGTGACTTCACAGAACATAACGACCCGGCATAAGACCAGCTCTGTATGCTGATGGATCTCTTAAGTTACTGCATGCCTTACGTTACACGTCTGAATTCCATATCATACTCAACTTCACCCGTTTCATCTCCATTTATATGGTTAACAGGCGTTCTGAATTTCACATGTCCCAAACAGAACTCTCGTTCCCTTCTTACGCCTTTCCCATCCCAGTAAACGTTACCATCATTCACCTACCAGGGCCTGGGTCAGAAGCCTGGGGTGAGCCGTCCTTCATTCTTCTTATACCTGACACACCTAATCTATCAGCAAGTCCTGCTAATTCTGGTTTCCACATACATGTATCTTGAATTCAAGCATTGATTGCTATCTTGTTTATAACCCTCGTTCAAATTGCTGTCTCTTACGTAGGCTTCCTAACTGGTCTCTCTGCCTCCAGCCCCCACCCCAGCCTCCCACGCTGGTCCTCTGCAGAGGAGCCAGAGAGCTTTCCAGAGCATAAATCTGATCCTGTCACTCCACTGCAATCAGAATAAAATCTAGACTCCAAACCACGCTTCTGTATTATCTGGCACCTGGTGACGCCCTGACATCACCTCTTCCCACAGCTTTCTGTGCTCCTCCTCACAGCCTCTGTCCTGTTCCTCAAGCCTGCCACGCTGGCACCAGCCCCAGGCCTCCGTGGGCGCTGCTGCTGCTGTTCAGCACGTGCTCCCTGACCTTCATGACTGCTTTCTTCTCACCATCCAGCTCTTTTCAGTGTGGCTGCCTCTGAGCAGCTCCCCTAGTCTTTCTCTTTAATGTTACTTTTTATTTGCATATTTATTGTTTGTTTTTCCCCAGGTAGAATTAAATTTTGTCAGACTCAACTACTTTTTACCATTTTTTTCATTCTGGAATCTAAAATAGTGTGTGGTGCACAGTAGGATTTCAGTAAATATTTATTGACTGCTGACTAATTGAGGACTTTGATGAAGTATCTTTCACGGTTGACTGGTAGAAAACTAATAAGGGTCTGATAATTTTTCTGTGGTTAGGCACTGTATTTTATCTAGGTGGGAAGTCTGAGAGGTAAGTCAGCCAAGACTTAGAGTAATTTGTTAAAAACAACCCTAGAACAAATAAAAACCGCAATACTATCTCTCCATATATATCATTATTGTTTAGTTTGAAGTAATTTTCCAATAAATAAATTCTAACAAGGTAGAGGAAAACAAAAATTTAATAACTGACTCTGTCTGGGATAAAAATGTATTATTAAGTTGTAAAGAATGCTAACCTGACCTATTTAACAACTAACATGTCTTGTTTGGGAGTACCCCACAGCCTTTTTAAAATTTTTTATGGCAAACTGATATTTATTGTGACTCAGTGTCTTTGCTAGGAAGTGCAAAGTGTGACATTCTGCAGCACAAGTCTAGTTCAGAGTCCTTGCAGTGGTTTTAACATCATGGAGTCACATGACCACAAGGTTGTTTGCTCACATCTGTGTGGAGCTTAATCATTCATAAAGCAAATTACTTCACATATGAGGCTTAAAAGTGGAAGGGTGGGTGTGTCCATTTCTAAGCATTAAGTTCATGGTTAATATAAGACAGCCAGTGTTGTCAGCAAACAGGATGGAGAGAGGCCAGACTTACAGAATCTTGGAAAGAGAAGGAATTTTGGTGATGCTCCTGTGAACCAGAGTGTAATGAATAAATTAAGTGTAATCTGGATTCTATCTGAGTTACCAAGAGAGATGTCTGACTGCGTCTGTGATACTCTGGTCGTCTTTCATCACGTGTCTTACACTCGTGCGTGTCGTTCTTTACAGGCTGGCCCTCACTGCCATGAACAAGTTTGAAGAAGCAGTTACAAGTTATCAAAAGGCATTAGACCTTGACCCTGAAAACGATTCCTATAAGTCCAATCTGAAAATAGCAGAACAGAAGTTGAGAGAGGTATCCAGTCCTGTAAGTTATTCATGCCGAAGGCCCTGAAATAGTTTCTGTCCTTTGTAATTTACTGTAATCAGTTTTGGTGGTTGGAATAATTCTCAGGTGTGATTGTTTCACAGACAGGAACGGGACTGAGCTTTGATATGGCCAGCTTAATCAATAACCCAGCCTTCATCAGTATGGTGAGTGTACTTCCTTTTCTGCTCTGCTGGCTCTGTTTTCCATGAAGCAATATCATTCTAACACGTTTTAGAAACAAACAAGGGAGCTTCTGTGGTGGTGGTGATGGTGGTAATAGAGTGGTGATGCAATGCTGTGGCTGAGATTTTTAACCTGCCTGTGTAGCTGTTTGTGAGAAAGCCATGGATAGACTTCAGGAAACGAATGGATTCCCTGAAATTGTATGCAAAAATTTGTGTACATGTGGATATGTGCATTTTTCCAGGGAGAGAACCATATTTTTCATCAGATTGGCAAAGGGGTCTGCAAATCTACAAAAGCCACCCTCTTACATGAAAATGGCCCTAGGAAGGCATCTAATAACTGAGGTCGGAGGATTTGGTTATTGTGGTTCCCTATGCTCTCCTTTCAGCATTGTCTGCTTCCAATCTTAAGAATTCATTTGACTTTTTAGTATAATTCTTATATAGATATACACTTCATCCTTCAAAGCAACAAAATTACTTTTAGACCTTTTTGAAAACACACATGCTCTGGTCCAGTATGTGGAAACTCTGGTTTAGTGGGTCAAGGATGTTACCTGGGCATATAAAGCTCCTTGGGTGACGATATACTTCTGGCTGAGAACTATCCTACCAGATGCCTTGCCCTTGGAAGCAGTACCACTTTTCTGTATCCTTCAAAAAATGTCTTGCATCCACTAAATCTTCAGCTGAGTTGAAATGTATAGATGGTTCAATCCTAGTGAGATAAAAAAGTCTTTTTCAACAATTGGTAGGTTTGTAGCAATGGGTAGTTTGTTAGCTGAAGTCTTTGTAGACAATATTTATTTGAGTGTATCGTTACTGATTTCAGAGAGGAAGGGAGAGGGAGAGAGAGAGAGAAGCATCAGTGATGAGTCATTGATCAGCTGCCTCCTGCACGCCCTCTACTGGGGATTGAGCCTGAAACCCGGGCATGTGCCCTGACTGGGAATCGAACCACGATCTCCTGGATCCTAGGTTGATGCTCAACCACTGAGCCATGCTGGCCGGGCGACAGTAGTTAATTTTTAATCACTGACGCTAAATGAGGAGTTGGGAAAGCCACCACTTGCTTTTATTACCAGAGAAATAATTGTAGGACTGACTTGCGAGTCAGTAACTCTTGAGTCTCAGGATTGAGGCCAATTTAAGCCAGTCTTGCTACCTAACCAGCACATGTATGTCTCTCCGTAGGTTCTGTGACCTTTTTAAACATTGTACCCATTTCCAGGCCTTCGTTCCTGCTGTTGTAGCCGGATGTGAAAATGGATTTGTTTCCAACTCAGCTTCGCCCTCACAGTGCTTGAAGTGAGGTGTGAGACTGCCACGGAGGAGCGCGGCGGGGGTTAGGAACAGTGTGTGACAGTCTTCAAAAGGGCCAGGTTGACAGAGATTAAAAGAGGATTTGGGGGACAGCTGTTGGAGTTTACTGCCCATGCAGACTTAGACTCAATTTAAATTTTACATAAATATTGTTGACTACCAATTTGAGGCAAAAACATTGTTTATGCTTTCAAAATGGGAAGTTTCAAAAGCGTGTATGTGTATAAATAGAATTTCCCTCCTCCTCAAGCAAGCATGGCAAAACTGAAACTACCAAGCCCCACGGAGCCAGGCCACATGGCTTAGAGTACGCGGCCTTGAAGGGGACCCTCCCAAGTGCAGGAGATTCCTCATACTAGTGTCTGTTTCTCCGTTGGGCTTTACCGAGCTGACCAGTAGTCATACGTATAACTGCTGTCAGTATCCTTGGTTTATCATGTTGTCTGTAGTCGCTCCATCCTTGCAGTGTATTTAAATGCCATTGTTTTCTAGTACCCCTCTTTTACATTCCCATTCACTCTGAACAGCATACCAAAACTACAGAATGTTAGCACACACATGCTTTTGCTTTCATTCCTGTTTTCTTTTTAAAGAAATCTCTGCGAAAGATCCCTAAATATTAGCTACCTTTAATGGGAGATGCCATTTTTCAATTCCAGGCAGCAAGTTTAATGCAGAATCCTCAAGTTCAGCAGCTGTAAGTATAAAGAACAAGCATATTACATTTCCCCCTCCACCTGCCGGCTCCTACTCAGGCACAGCAGCTCCACAGTGGTGATACCCCCAGACCACCAGCCAGTTGGCACTTAGAGTCACACACACTCAGTCTAACCTTCTGCAAGATGCAGGCATATTTAACTGACTTCCCCTTGGCCAGTATCGTCCTTGGTAAGACCATCTGCCAACCCAGTGATACACCTCTTGCCTACTCTAGAATGTCAGGAATGATGACAAATGCCATTGGAGGACCTGCTGCTGGAGTTGGGGGCCTAACTGACCTGTCCAGCCTCATCCAAGCGTAAGTGTTACTTAAAATAGAAATAGTAAAAAAGTGTTTTACAGTTTGCCCGTAGTTAAAATAGAAAGTTTAAAGAAAGTATTTTATGTCTTACAGTTAGTTTGTCTCTAAAGTGAGGGGACCAGGGCTTTCTTTTTTAATTCTTATCATTTACTATTAGTGTCAGTGGCCTCACTAGTTATTAAATTTAAAAGGCGTTCATAAGTTGGAATTTTCAGACTGAAGGGCAGGAATCCAGAGATCCGTATTCAAGAAAAAGTTTTTCAGCAGATCTGAATAGCTACAAGGATGGATATTGAAGTCAAGTAGCTATTCAAAGTCTGCATGATTTAGGTGCATACATATATTTAAAAATCATATATTACATATATACTAAAGTTCAGACAATCTAGGAAAGAATTTTAGTCAAGCTTTTCAGTGCACGTCACCACTAAAGGAACACCCTGCACCATCTCATTACCTTCACTTCCAAGCAGGCTGCTGAAAAGAGTCTGCTCTCAATCTGTGTGATGCTGTCACTAAAGATTTTTTCTGAAGCCACACATATCATTTGCTGTTTGTGATCATGACCATGCAACCCCATTGGCAACATTGCATTTTTAGTGACCTTTAAGTGGCATAATGATGGTGGTGTCTAACCCTCGCAATTGAGGGTCACACATCAGGAATTGGCATTAAATCTGCCTTTTAAAAATCAGTTCTGTTTAGTGACTTCTATCCACATCTCCAAATGGGTGTGACGTGTCACAGGGGAGACTAAGACTTGACTGCAAGAGCAAATACCTTGCATCACACTCGAGCACATACGATAAAAGCATATACTTTTGAGCCCTTTATTTGTGGTTAAGCACCAGAGGGGGTGGATTTCACGCTGCTAGAGAACTTTTTGGCTTGGGTGTCTCGTTTCTTAAAAGGAACAGTGCTTTGTAATAATGCCATGTGGAGGCACTGGCAAACTTGCAAATACTATAGTTGTGATTCCAAAACTTGTCTTTCTAGAATTGCCTTTCGGTAGTTCTCCCACCTCTTGAAGTCCTTTTTGCGGGTATTGTGTGACTGGGAATTCCCTAATTCATACCGCTTTGCCTCTCACTCTCAGGGGACAGCAGTTTGCTCAGCAGATACAGCAACAGAATCCTGAACTTATAGAGCAACTGAGAAATCACATCCGGAGCAGATCATTCAGCAGCAGCGCCGAAGACCACTCCTGACCGACAAGGACCCTAGGGTGCAAATGGCCATGGCTCCGCTGATGTGTCTGCTGTAGATAGTGGCCAAAAAACAAAAACAAAACATCTAAACAAATCTGTCTAGACAGTAGGTTTATCACAAACAGACTTGAACACATGCCTCCTTTGTAAACAAGTGGTCAGTAGCCATGTACGTGCCAATATAGCACTGGACAGGGTTCCATTTTCAAATCTTCATCATCACATCTGTATATTAGGCTTAATAGCGTAAGGCTGTTTGTTGGTGAGTTCTCTGGCTCCCAGTCCTCTTAGCAAACCTTCAGAAAGGGAAGATGGCCAAGAGGAGAGGGCTCACATGCTGGGTTAGGAGGAAGGTACCTGCTACTGAGCAGCACGTCTGCCAAGGAGAAATTTGTTACCTAGGATTAGTGTTAATAGTGCTACCAGGACCAGAACATGTACATAGGGGCCAGTCCTGTTTCCAGTGCTGCTTGTTTCAGTGGGTGGCAGGGAATCCAAGAGCTGGTGGACAGCAGAACTTGGAGGAAGGGAAGAAAGAATAGATGCTATGAATGTGTATAAAGTGAAGGTAGGTGGGATGCTCAGGTTTTTGCATAGTTCTTAACTAACCTTGCCTGCAGTTTGGTATTTATAACATCAGCATGGCCAGTTATGCTATGTACATAATAAAATGCATTTAGAAATCCTTAATGGTCTGCTTAGGTCAGTCATTTATTCAGTTTAACTAGCACAACTTCCCCACTGATGACCTTACCATGGAAACTCTCTCAAATATACCTACATTTAAATAAGTCAATGACTTGGCTCTTGAGTTAAGGATTTTCTAAGTGGCATTTAATTATGTGCTCATAAACACTGATTTTTTAAAAATTTAGTAATTATTTGATGGGTTACAGAAAGCATCTGTCATTAACAATGCTTGTTTGTGTAATCCTCTGTTATGATTTGGTTTGGCATGTTGCTTTTATGCTTAACCTTAATTTGATGCAACTTAAACATAATAGGGGACTTAAAATATATTGAAATTAGAATAGATATCAGTGGAGAGAAATGGCATTGTTATAATGGTATTAATGGCATGGCTCTAACTATAGTGATGGATGAGACTTCTAACTGGAACTTCTTTTGTGAATTATGAAATAGGTCAAGTTGGGGAGATGCGTAGTGATTTCACAAGTGTTGTGAGAGAAAACTGAAAAATAATGTAATATTGAATTAGTTATGCTGGTAATAATTAGGGCCTTATTATAACTATTCTCCTCAAAAGATGACTTATTTCGAAGTTTAAAACCCAACTCTTCCCTTGTTTCCCTTTGTGAGATTAGACCAGTGGTTCTATAATTTCCCTGTAAGAGCTACCTGGCGAATTTGCTGAAAATGCAGATTCAGGACCACACTTGCCATTTTTATATAGTGGATCCTGTAAAAAGGTCCGAGCAGCACCATTTTAAACAGTACACCAGGTGGTTCTGATATAGATCCAAAGACTCTAAATTTAGAGTGAGCAACACTGAATTAGAGATTTCTCCTCAATTAGACCAGCAAATACCTAATCCCCAACCCCCCACCCCTTGGGCTTATGCTACAACGAAGACTTATATGAACCTACAGTTCTGTCCAGAGAAGAGCAGGACTTAAGTCTTAGGCCTTCTGAATTAAATCTCCTATATTCCATCTAAACCAACTAAATTTTTCATAAATTCAGCTCCTAGTGTTGAAGTATTACACAGAATGAAAGTGATGACATTGATGAAAAAAAGCAAAGCTGATCCTTAATTAAAAATTAGTCACTCTTATCCAATGTTGAGTAAGAAAGTTTCTAGCATAGCTATCTTGAGGACATTAAAAGTGCTTTCAGATTGATAAACTGGTAAGCCTCTAGCTCACTGACCAGGAAAAGAAAATACAAATCAATATCAGAAGTGAAGGAGGGATATCAGCGCAGACCCTGTAGACATTAAAAGGATCATTAAAAAATGACAACCAATTTTAGGTTCATATAGTCAACAATATTCCTTATAAAATAGAAAGTACTAAAGCTCACTGAAGAAACAGGTATCCCCCAGAAAAGAAAGCTCCAGTCCCAAACAGTTTCATTGGGGAAATCCACCAAAAAATTAAGGGGGAAATAATCTCAATCTACACAACCTCCCAGAAAACAGGAGGAGATATTTCACAATCATTTTATACACCCACTACTCTGATACCAAAATCAGCAAAGACATTATAAGCAAAACCCTTTAGAACAATGTCGTGATTGCTAGCACCTGCTGTGAAGACAGCCTTTTCCCAGCAGGAGTCAGTGTGTTTGGTCCTGTCACCTATCCAGGTTGTGTCTTTGTGAATGTGCCGCATAATGAGCTCAGCCTACGTGGATCTGCTCACTCACCTGGTTCCCACCTGATTCAGGCCACTTTTGATCTTCCAGTACCTTCCTCACTTTGGAATCACTGCATTTCAATGAAGTTTTGTGTAGTTGGATTATACTTGCTACTCATTATAAGAAATGCCCCAAATATTATTCTTGCTCATCTGAAACAGGGCATTAAAGTGAATCTTTAATATACAGTCTCCTTAGGGATGACTGACTTCCATGAACCATTTCATTGCTGTAGCTATTATGATGCTATGTAAAACTTAAAATTTTTTTTATGCAAATGATGTTTTCATTTAATGTACCAAATTATCTAATTTTTATAATATGGTTTAAACAAGATCCTTTCTAAAATGAGATTATCTAATTTTTATTTAAAGAATGAACCATATATGTCTAGGTTATTGCTTGCAAAAAGATACTTTGTAATTAAATCAAATATGGCAGATTCCAAGTGACCATTATATGTTACATTTTAAATTTGAAGCAGAGTGAGACAGAAGGTTCAGTCATGAGAAGATGCTTGAAAAGCCAGGGAAGCACCCAGTGCAGGGGCTATAAAGTCTTATCATTAATCAATCTTGTTCGTTTGGGAAGGGAGATGGATGTTGCACACTGCTTGCATTTTATTTTGCATTTCATCAATTATAATTTAAGGAGCAAATCTCACCTGAATATAGCTTTCATTTTGGACCAATTTGTCATGGCAATAAATAATTACGCACTTAAGAAAAACCAATTTTTGTATTTGACTTAATGTACTCTTACATTTAAGCAATTATATATACATCCTTATATTTCAACTTACCAAAATAAGTGTTTATTTAACAGCATAACTTTTTATTTTCTGACAAAACATTGAAACATTTATTATGTTCATGTTTCAAAGTTGTTTACAATCTTAACTTTTTCACTGTTTTGTTCAGGGCATAAGTAAATTAGTGTAATTACATGTAGAAATAGAAAGTTTTATAATATTAATACATGGTTTAGAGTTCAAAATCAAATTATCAGAAGCTGGAAATCCTTTAAATATGCCTATTAAAATAAGTGGTTTTTTTTTTTAATGAGGAAAAAAACCGGACTTTTGGACTTAGAAAAGCATCAGGCTTCCTAGTTAAATGTTAACAGAGTAATCAACAGTCTGAGAAATAAAACCAATTATGATCTGCTGTTAGTAACTGAAACTCGACGTGTAGATTTGCATGTATACACACAGATACACACCAATACAATAATTCTGAAAACAACTAAAAAAATTCATACTGTTAGCATATACAAGGTTACTAGAGTACCATCCCAGTTGCTTTAAACAGCTTATTCTGTTGACTGAGCAGCTAGGGAAAAAACTGGAGTTAACGGAAATATTTTTAAATAACATAGTATAAAAATTCTGAAGTTTTAAGAAACAGCTGTATCTTCTAGATTAAGGTCAGCAAACTATAGCCTGCCGGCCAGCTGCTTGATTTTGTAAACACCACTGTGCTCTTTTTGCCCACTAGCTGCTCTCACATTATAGCAGCAGAGAGGAGTATTTTCAATAGAAAACACATGGCCTGCAAAGCCTAAAATATTTTGTACCTCGCCCTTTACATAAAAATTTTGCTGACCCCCAGTCTAGATACTTGCTGGGGACAAAGAGCCTCAGATATAGAGCTTTTAGAGAACAAAGTCCAATGGTCATCTAAATGAAACACATAGGATATGTGTAGAAAGTATGCAAATGTTCCTTTAGAATATAACTCACAAGATAAAACCAGTAGACGGCCTTTTCAAAACAAATATTTAATATTTTAACTGTTTTACAGGAAAGAAATTTAAATAACATATATTTTTTACTGTTGACGTGATCATTTTACAAAGGTGACAATACAGGAAGTGCTGTGAAACACAATGAAAAGCAGGAGACGGAGATTTCTTCAGCTGCCCACTTTGGTGGCCGCAGACACCACACAGACCTGTGCGACGTCATCATATTCATATGTTCTCTTTAGAAATGTGTCCGTTAGTCTTAAGCCGGAGACGCTCTATTGAGAGAAAGATAGAGGCCTAAGTTTTCCTTCAGTGGTAATTCCTAGAGAAAATATGGGTACAGTACATGGCAATGGGTTAATAGCTCCCAAATACTGAAATTATTGAAAAGAGAACATACTTGCAGTCCCTGTACTGAAGACAGGAGAGTAAGGGCAAGGCAGAGAGAGGAGCTGGGGTGTAGCTTTCCAAGCTGTCTTCCTGAGATGCCGCACCAGTGGATAGAATTGGTATTGCACATTTCCAAAACTAGGTCCATAGTCCTTTCACTGCTGGGGGAATCAGAAACACAGGAATAAATCTAGTTCCTTTCATAAGAGTTATGCAATATTCTTGCATTAATGCCAGTGAATTTGTTTTCTGGGTGTACAGGAGAAGTAAAAGCCCAGAAACATTAAAATATCTCATTTTTATTTCACTTAAGATAGAATCAGGAAAATGAAAGAAGAGGGCATCTTCTAGGGTTTAAAGTGTCACTGAGACTGATTTGCCTGTCTGGTTGTTGGCCTTCTGGTTCTGTTACTAAACACTTGGCTCCCTGCTGCTGACCTGTGAATAGTTCTGCCATTTCTCCAGGAGACTTTCAGACACCTCTGTCTAATCTTGTTGCTATGCATCCCTCCTATTTGTTAGGTAATCCGTAGGAAATAGAATGAGAAACTGAGTCTGGTCCAGTGCTTTTCCTATTTATGTTTCTTTACCCTGAAGATAACACAGAAAATGACTGACAAGCTTTATAAGAAGTAAATACTATTCATGTTTGTTCAGTTTATATAAAAAGCCTGCTTCTGCTTATAATTGATATCACCAGTTCAGTTTAAACATGTTAAGTTAAAACAGCTTCCAATGAAAATATGCACATTGTTTAAAAAAACACACACAAAAACACCAAAAGCTCATAATGAAAAATAGTCTCCTACTCTACCACCATTCATGACCACTTTCAACTCTTTTACCTCTTTTTTCTCATAGTTGGTTCCGTATTTTAAAGTACTTATTTAAATTTTAACTTATTGATCTTTAGATATAATGACTTAATGATACTTAGCTTTTATAGGTCTCTGTCTCCTAAACAAACATTTGAAATGTCCACTGTGACACAGACCAGGTTAGATGCACTACATGAATTTTCTCATTAAATTTCACAAAAATCCAGTAAGTATGTTGTGTATGTGTGTGTGTGTTGGGGAGTGCGTATGGGGGGTGTAAATCCCATTTTTATAGATGAGAAAACTAAAGACCTAAGAAACAGTGCTTTTAAAAAAAACTTATTTTACAAATATCACATGATCTCACTTATGTGGAATCTAAAGAACACAATAAACTGATGAACAAAATAGATTCAGTGACATAGAAGCATGGATCAGACTGACAAATTTCAGAGGGAAGGGGGGGGTAGGTGGGGAGAGATTAACCAAAGAATCTATATGCACACATTCATAACCCTTGAACACAGACAATTGAGTGGTGAAGGCCTAGGGAGGAGAGTGGGTGGGGGGGTGGAAGGGGTCAATGGGGAAAAAAGGGGACATCTGTAATATTTTGAACAACAAAAATATATAAACAAACTTATTTGAATCACCGAAAGTTAAAGTGAACATCAAAAGAAACTGAATTAAAAAAATTTTAACAGTACTTTGTTATTTGGTCAATAATAGATTTGCTATACCTCAAAAAGCTCAAAAGAAACAAAAAAAATCCAAAGGCCTTTCCCCTGTGAATTGTCTGCTGAGCAACTCTGATGTGGCAGGCACTGCACTTACAATACTGGGTAAGACATGGCCCCTTCCCTTGAGTAAGTCACAGTCTAGTGAGGAAGAGACTAATAATTGTAGCAATACAGAGTGTCCCTAAAAAGCTATATTAAAATTTCCTATGACAAAGAGATGATTAACTGCATGGGAGGGTCTAGGTAGCTTCACAGGGAAGTAGATATTTCTGTAATTTTGAAGGGTGATGATTTGCTATCTTCCCTCTAGTATCATACGGTGGAAATGGAGTTAGAAAGGATTATACATTCAGACCATGAGGGCTGGGACTCATCACTGAAATGTTATCAAAATGCCCCAAACAATAATATATACCGAGCAATAACAGCAGGAGCAGCAGAGTGACAAGACTGGGATTTAATCCTGGGTTTTTCTGGCTTAAAAGCTCTGTGCTCTGCTTCCTAATAACTAGATTATATTCTCCTTTTATTATCACTGTCCTGTTTTCCAACCTATGGTTATCCCTTATATTAAATTCATAACCTATTTTTAGGTTATGAATACAGCCTCAGGTGTAAGTATGGCTCAGAAAAATCTGCCTCATTACATGAAATCTATAATAAATTATTCCACAGGAACCTACTAACTCAGGCTTGAGTAATCTGAAGTGTGAGGGAAGTGTAAACAATGAAAAGAATATGAGCTTGTAAGTCAAACACACCCGGTTTCAAATCTTGGCCCCATCTTTTCTAGTTTTCTAAGCTTAAGTGAAGTCACTTAACCTCTGGGTTGGCTTTCTCTTGCATATGCTGTGAATAATTGATACCTACCTCAGAGGGTATAATGCATGAATGTAATCAAATACATAAACTGCCTAATTCTGTGGGACCTCAACAATATGTAATATGCAGCTACCAGATAAAGAACTTTACAGTATCCAACATCAACATCAGAGAAGGCTGTATGTCACCAGGAAATATTTAAAAGATTGAAAAATTCTCTTTTAGGATTAAGAAGTACAAACTGGTAGGTACAAAATAGTAACAGGGATGTAAAGTACAGCTTAGGGAATATAGTCAATAATATTGTTGTAACTGTGTACGGTGCCAGGTGGGTACTGGAAATATCAGGGGAACGCTTTGTGTAAAGTATATGATTGTCCAACCACTATGCTGTACACCTGATGAAACCAATACAAAATATTAAAAGTGTAATTAAAAATAAAATAAAACTTTAAAAAATAAGAAATAAAAATAATCTTTTAGGTGGATGAGAAGGAAAGGACATCCACAAACACTGGCATTACCTGCAGTTTGTTATTTTGCAGGTAATATGAAAAGGTTCTTCTAGGATTACGGTATCTGGGATTGCCTCCAAAGATAACCTAACATCTCCATAACCTGGAGCCTAAAAGAAAAAGCAACACAGTTAACACATGTATCACAAAACCTTTCCATTGTGATGAAGGTACCACAGCAGGACATTCCCTCGACAGTTGGGGCTTCAAGCTGCTGTTCTGAGAAAGCATTTTTCAGTCATTCTGTTCTTCATTCTAATCTCTCTTGTGCTGCTACCTGCAGAACAACACTATAGACCCTGACTGTTCTTGCTGTAATTACTCCACGATCAGCAGTTATAATGAACCTCGTTAAAATGAATCTTATAATGAATCTCTAGGTCTATAAACCTCATAGGTAAACAGTAAAGAAATTTCAGGTCTGATCTTAAAGGGATGCTTTCCAAAGACACTGTGGCTTATACATACATAACTAAATAGGTAAGATTACTGCCTAAACAGAAAGAGGATGATCACTCTGAAATGATCCAGGAAGAAAACCATGTCTTTTCACAGACACATGGGCAGGGATGGGCCACAGAAACATCAGGGCTTGGACCATGCCATGGCAGGATGACAGCTAATTGCTATAGTAAAATTAGGCTAGTGATATTTTTTCCCCCAAACTGTGGAAGAAAAGTAAATTTTAGAATATATCAGAACAGTTAATATTCAGCACAAAGGGAGGATTCTGTAGCATATGAAAAGGAAATCTGACAGCTACCCTACTCTCAGAACAGAAATTAGGTAAAATATCCAACCAATGCTTACAAGGTAACTTTAGTGGGAATCACATTCTGGTTTCAGACAACTCAGACTTCAAACATCTTAAAAAAAGGTGTGAACTGAGTAGGTGACTAGTAAATTTCAGGACATTGCAAAAGAAGAAAACTTCAATATAGTGGAAGTCAGATGAACAGTGAGTATGAATCCCCATAGGAGGGAACGATTGATAAGCAGTTATTTGAATTTGTTTGGTAAAATAAAAAATTATTTATTAAGGATAAATTAACATTCGAACATTTTCCATTCATCTCAATACCAATTTTCTACGTAGCTCACTGAAATCACTAGTCTTTTACCCCGTATTCTTTAGTAATATTAACGCCTTTTACAGTGCTCTGATTCTTAGTGCTAGCCCTAGGAAAATTTAAGCTGTTCTATCTACCTGCCCCCTCCCACTGAAGTTCTTCCCAGACTCACCATTCTTTGAAGTTGGCTGGTCTGTAACCTTCCCCTCTCACCTAGATTTGTTTTCCACACTATATCCAATTTTCCGATTACTGTTACTCCCTTAATGATGCCTGCTTTTTCTGCAAACTCCTTTTTGGGTTTTAGGCAGTACAAGTACTGGCGTGTATCCATTGGCTGCAAATACGTTCTTGACCCAAATGTAGTTACACTGAGAGGGGAGGAGACAGAGATGGAGAGAATTCTCTTAGCATCTTTTAAAAGAAAAACCATGTGATTGTTCCTTTTGACAGAAACTGAATGATTTACCAGCCAAAGATGTAGAACAGGACAGGTCAGTTGTTTCAACACAAATAAAAAGAACTTGTACTGAGAAGACTTAATTCTATTTAATTTTTTTCAGTTGATATGGAAAATCTTGAGTTTCTTTATAATAGAATGCAATATATTACCTAAAATACTGGATATGTATCAACTGAAAAAAATGCAAGAGATCCAAACTTTAAATATCCTTTCCCCTTTCTCTAATTACCAAAAAACAGTTAAGAATAAGAAGATACATAACATTGTACCTAAGTAATCATTTCTGAAATGAACAAAAATATCAGGAAGACAATGAAAATTGTTTTCCCCAGGGGTTGTGAGAGGCTAAGAATGTTTCTGTATCTAACCAACATAAGGTAACAGTAAGCTTTTCATTCTTGATTAAGAGTCAGGTACTTTCTCCAGCTTTTACTTTCATATCCATATTAATGCCAACCCTGCACTTACTTATTTTTCTAAATTACCTATAGAAAGACATATGTATTTTGTTTTCACAAAAAATTCAATCATCTGTTCCTATGCCCACTCCTTTTGATGACAGAATATTTCTTCTTAAAACCCACCCTCATCCTCACCCTTTCTAATTTCTCTACCATTCCTTCCCATGCCTCAGTTTTATCATTTTCAGGATAAGATGAAAGGTCCCATATTTACCTCACTAAATTATTATGAAAATTAAAAGAACAAGTGCTTCAAACGGCAAAACATAAAAAGCAAACAACTAGGATCTTTATTTTTATGACTAGGGCACCTTTAGGGCAGTAAAACTATTTTGAATAATACAATAATGGTGAATACTTGTCATTAGATTTGTTAAAACTCATAGAAGGTACAAAACAAAAAAAATGAGCCCTAATGTAAACAACAGATTTTAGTTCATTATAAATATCGATATTGGTTCATCAATTGTAATAAATGTGCCACATTAAAACAACATGTAAATACTAGGACACTGAGTGGGAGGGGGAAACTGCTTTTGGATCAATTTTCCAATGAAAATTTTAAAAAGTCAATTAAAAGAAATAAAAAACCATCCAAGAGTAATGGATATTAAAAGAGTTCATACCTCTCAAAATAAGAACAAACACTTCATAATTCATATTTACCATTCTCCAGCTTGGTTGACTGAATTTAATTCTGCTACATTGTACATTATAGACGGCTCCAATGAAACTTTCTCCATAAACATGGGTGAGGTTGTAATATTCTGAATTTGGGCTTCGAGAAATACTTCATCAGTCTGAAGATATGAAAAAAATATCCACCAAAGTGTAATGCTATTTAAAATATTAACCTCAACAAAAATATCTGATCTATTTGAAGAAAAAATATTAACCACAAATGTGATTAGTTCATGCCTGCAAGTCAAAGTTATCAAAATTAATGCAAGAAAAGAAATCTTCATCCTAACATAATTAACAGGGGCAAAGTCAAGTGTTAGTCAACTGATAACTTGTCAAACAATGGATGGGGGATAACTATAATATTTTTGTCTTAAGATCCCAAAACTTATTTAACTGGAATTTCATTCACAAATATCCTAAATCGTCTAGTATAACTCATTAAAATGTTAAAATGAAATTTAGTATGATTAACATACCTGTGCACCTATCACTTCAGTGATATGTTAAGATAATTTGGTCTTCATTATAACATTTGAGCATAATATAACTTCAATTGTCATATTACTTCAATTTAGATAGTATAGAGACCACTAGTACACTGAATAATGTGCTTTACATAATCTTATAGAATTTAGCTTTAATTAAAGCAATTTGTTAGTGGTCATTAGTAATTTCTTGGTTCATTTAAAGTATAAATTTAGGGCTAAAACAGTATGTGAATTATACCTGACAATTTTAGAGCTTTTAAATAAAACAAAAGGTATTTTGTAGCCTTAGTGATGATATGAAAAGTGATGCTATTCAGCAGTATTTTAATCAATGGGTAATTTAAATAAGTACTTTTATAAAATTTTTTTATTCCCTGATTATTTTTGTTAAACATCCTTCTTTCTATGCTATTTGGTTATTATTTTTTTGTGTGTAATTGAAGGATAACAGACAACTTGGTTTATTTTATAAACTAACCTATATAAAAAATAATATACTAAAGATATTCAAGAATTTGTTCAAAATTTTGTAGTTATATATGTATACGTTCTATATAAACATATATATAAACATGTAAAGTTATATATATATGCACACACGTGTGTGTGTGTGTGTATATATATATATATATATATATATATATATGTCTATATATATGTAAAATAAACTATGACCAAAATAACTTGGCACTTTTCAGCCCTTTAAATACTAAATCCAAAAAATGGCAATCATTTGCAAATATAAAGATAAGTTTATATTCTAATGTATTATTATCTAAAATATATTTTACTGCTAAAATAAAATATTCTTTAGTCTTGGCACATGTGCTCAAATGAAAATAGAAATACAAAGATGTATCAGTTTAAAAGAATATAACTTAATTTAGAGGTGTTATTCTGCTTTTTCTCAAAAGAACACTAAATATATCCCATCAATCCATTGCTTTAAAAATAACCACAGACCCACATTTCAATTTCAAAAGTGCAATTTTCTGCATAAATTAGGAAGAGTTTAGAAAAAAATGAAAGAAAAACAAGCAGCATAATGGAAAATTAAGTTAGTTTGAATAGTTAGTATAAAATAATTTGACACTTGAAAAATTAAGAACTCAGCACTATGGCAGCTGATATTGTTACTGTGTATGTAATGTAACACTGCACACCCAAATACTGCATATAATAAATAGAAATTTGAAAATGTGATTTTAGCCAACTTGGGAAAATTTGATTTTCTTCTGTTTACTGCTATCAAAGGGCCATCTTTACCTGACCCAGACTTAAAACTAAAACCACTGTACATTTGAAGATAAATTTCAACTAGATAGTTTATTCAAAGAGTTGAAGTATTAGTAGGGTATTTTATAGGAAGATGTTGAAAATCCCAAGGCTATTTTAAACAAGGTCAACGTGTCTCTTAAAAAACACCTAAGGGAAAAACACTAAAAATGAGAATATAATTGTTTCAATATGACAATTTGGTCTCTGATCTATTTTTTCTCACAAAGTAAGACAATATAAATATAAAAAGTACAAAGAGTTATATACATCTTTTTTGAAGTCAAACAGCTGGTATTCATACTAACTTTATTTTTCCAATATGTTTTGTAAAGAGAGATTAATTAAACAGTCAAAAAGTGGTGAGTAAGATAAGCATATAAATTTATAATAAAAAATCAAATTACCACAGAACTGAGGTCACTCTAATGGAAAAATAAAAAAGAAAAATTAGAAAAATCAGAATTAAATGTTAAAGAAAAAGAATAACTAACTTTAAAATAAAATGCATTTCTGCATTTTTTAAAATTTACTGAACAAGACAGCATTAGTAAAACAAGAAAGTAAACAGAAAGCTACATAAAGGAGTATGACAAATTATTTTTCTAAACAGGTAAAACTGCTAAGGTTAAATGAATAGAGATGAACACTTAAAATAGAGAAGTGTATTCCATGCCTTTCTAGCTCTATAAACTCTGTACTACATTTTAATTCTTCAGAGATTACTTAAATGGATATACACTATCCTCCACACCCAGAATACATACACTGTAGAGCTTCTCCTAAATTGATCTAATACTGGAATCCTTTTTTCAAGGAACATCTTGTGTGATTAGAGTTCTATGGATCACGCTTCAGAGAATGCTGGGCTAGACCAGACAATTGAGAGTTTATTCTATTCTTGTTAACAGACTTCAGTTAGTCTTTCTTTTCATACATATTTCTAAAGTTACCTACTTATTAAGGGCCATCTCAAATGTCCTTTTTCTGTCAAACTCATAGCTGGAAATCATATTTCACTTCTCTATTTCCCAGAGTATTAGTACACTTCAGGATCTAGTGGGAGAGGGGTGTTTATACTGTATTGTAGTTATGTCATGCCAGTCTCCTCCATTAGACTTAAGTTCCTTGAGGATTGGGAAGATGTTCAGTTTATATTAATTTCTCTTCATTACCTGACATGGAGCTCTGTACCCATCAGGTGACCAAATGTTTGAATCCTAGCATCTCATGTCACTTCTTGTGAGGCTTTCCTATTTTAGAAGACTATGACAAAGTTTCTCATAAAAACTTGTTTTTCTTTAGGTGACTCACATATTATTAGAATTCTTAGAAACAGCTTAAAAGTGTTTATGACAAATGTAGGGCTAATTTTAGTTTCTGTATCGCAACTATGGCACAGAGTAATAAATATCACCTACTGTTAGTGTGTTTTACTAACTCCTATAATTTCCCTGAATTTCCTAGTTGGGGTCAATAGAATCTGCCTCATCCTATTTGTTTACTCCTGGTCTATAAAGAGATGTCTACTTTCAAAAGTTCAGAATTTTAGTAAAACTTTTTTTGCTGAAGTTTGTTGGCAAAAGTTTAAAGTTTATGTTTACATATAATGTTAGCTGAAAAAGGCAGCAAATAGAATTGTTACTATGATTATAAACACAGAATATTACATATAAATGAGTAAAGACTGAAAGAGAATATGAATTAATGAAAAATCAGTTACTTTTTGGTCTAGTGAAATTGTGGGTTTTTTCTTTCTTTTGGGGTAGTATGTCACTTTTATAATATTATTCATGGAATAACTAGCAATTTAAAAAAATATTTGCAAATCACTGAATATCAGTGTTATAAAACTACTTGTCAAGTATCTGAATGTACCAACACATTTTCAAAAAAGAAAACCCAAAATATCTTAACATGCACTTCCCTAGGAGCCACTTACAGAAAAAAAGAACCACCCACAGCCCTATTTATTTTTAATTTTCTAATGTATCTAGTCTAACAGAGTAGTTATTAATCTCTCCTCATCCTATGAATGAAATCTTTCCTAGCAAAGTAATAAATTAGTAAGACTAAAATTCACCAAGCTGAAGAGCTATACTGCAATTAATCAGAAGTTCACTATTAATTACAAAAAGGTGGAACACATAAGTAGTATCCCAACCTCCCTACCCCCCAAAAAGAAATGTCAACTCTTTAAACATCTAGGAATCTCCTTGATGAAACTGTACCCTCCCATCAAATATGTATGCTTTTCTCTACAACATTCCACATGCATCTGCAACTCTGCTTGGAGTGCCTCTCCGCTGACACTGGGACGTTTCCAACACCCCTTCCTTCCAAGCTCCGCTGCAGTTCCCCTCCTCTTCCAAGAGGTGTCTTCAGACTACTCCAGGATCTCCTCCCAAGTTCCTATACCACTCTCTTCAGGCTCACTTCATCTTACAGTAAGTAGCTTTGCTAACCTGTGCCTCTTTTCCTTTTCTCCTCAGGTCTTTACTCTAGGTCAGGTTCCTTATCTTAGACATCTTAGTATGCCCAGTGGTAGAACAAACTTTATACTGCTGAGCTCTACTTATCAATATTTTTCCATGTAAATATTAAATCTTTTTTGCAGTGTTAGATCTACTTCAATTTTTGTAATATTAGAATCACACTGTAAATATTAACAGACTGCTGATGTTTTTAGACAGTAACAAGAACCATTAATTGGAATTATAGGGCAATCATTTAATGAAAGGGGTGAAAGCCTCACAAAATTAACAATGAGGAAAAAAAATCAAGATGTACTGATTCCATGAAATAGAAGATTAAAGTGCTCTACAATGAAGTTCATTCACTTTTGATTGAACTTTATGCTCATTTTTCACAAGTAATTTGCAGTACTACCAGCAATTGACTATAATATGAAAAAAAATGTAATACAGCATAATTTTAATAAAATAAAATCTTAATGTTTTATCTGAAATCCCATTAAGTACCTAATACTTACCTCTGCATTGTAAAATTTGGTTTTCACATCCAGTGGTTTGAGAACCTAGTTGAATAAAGCATATCAATCAGGAGATTCTTATCATTTGACCATTTATTTTTGTTTGCTTGTTTTAAATAGCAGGGCTTAAATGTGTCAAAGTCATTTTCAATTTTCACTGTAAAAGACTTTTCTAATAGGTATGCAATACTCTAGCAAAAACAAAAGCCCCCAAAACAATCCTAAATGCATTTTTAAAAAGGCAACCATCATTTCTTGACTAGGTGATAGTTTCTTGGGCTTTATTTCATTATATTTGACTAAACTGAACACATATATTTCAGTGTTTTTCTATATGTTTATTTCACCAAAAAATGTTTACCAAAATAAGCAACTGAAGTTCCTTTTATTTTTTTCAAAAGCCATATAAAATCTTAAACAAATGAGGAATGTGGCAAAGCAGTAGCAAAATATGTTTCCTATTGATAATATATTTTCTTTCACGTACAGGAATAAAAAATACATATAGCATCATATCTAGGTCTACATATAGATATATGGTAGTCTTGTCTCCCAGTCCACACACATACATATGTTAAACCAGTGGTTTTTAACTATTTTTGATCACTGACTTTGAAAATTACATACAAGTACAAAATTCTGATGGAGTCCGTGATGAAGCTTGGTGTACTCAGCCCAAGTCAATAATTTCTCATTTAAATATTTCCTTAGAAATCTGATACAATTTACACTTATTTTATTGGACTTTACAATCCTTTTTTCCCTCACCTTGTGTGATTTGTCAAGTCATGAAAACAATAAAAAATTTTCGGGGGTAAAAATCTTCAAGTTTCATTACAAAAACATTATGTTGGTAATTATAATTTCTCTGCCTTTATCTAACTCAATTACATCTAACTTTAGATTGCTAGCAATATGACAAGTCCAAAAATATTAAACTATTTGTTTTATTTGAAGCCTGTTTCACTGTAGGTAAGTAGAAATAACTACACTTCCATAAAGAAAGAAAAGGCATGTAAAAAAACCCCCACAAAAACATTTATCACTGTCATATTCAGTACCTGAAATTTGAAGAATTTTCTAAAATACATTTTTTCTCCGCCCTGAGTTGTATAACTCACTGCACACACCAAGCTGAAACAGAAAGATGTCTTAATGATTCTGCATCATTTTCAATTTTGTTTCTTAATAGTAAATTTACTACACCTTAATTCCACCTACAAGTCAGGAAGATATTTATACTAATACTGTGAAATTTTTGACACTTAAAACAAAATGTAAAAGCAGACAACAAACTGGGATAAAATACTTCAAGTACAAAGAGAAAATGGTTAGATTCTTAATATACAAAGAATTCCTGTAAGTCAATAAGCAAACATTCATATTTCACTCAAATTAGGAGGAAAGAAATACACAAATTGCAATACCATACTTAGCTAACAAAAATGTGAAAATCTTCAGCCTCACAAGTAATCAATGAAACAAATTAAAACGAGGTAAGATATTCCATTTAACATTTGGCAAAAATTCTTTATAAATAAATAATATCAAGGTTGGTAAGGGTTTAGAGAAACTGGCTTTCTTTACACAGCTAGTGGTTATAAAAAATTTGGAAAACAATCCTTCAGTAAAACAGCCTAGACATGTGTATATGTTCCCACAGTAAAACCACTTCAAGTAATCTGTCACCAGAAAATATTAAGGGATTCATCATGGTGTTATTTATAATAGTGAAACACTGGAAATAAAGTCCAACATTACAGTAAACAAATTAAAGCACACGGTCCACGTTTGTAACATAAAGCCATTTAAAAAATAATGTTTCGGCCCTAGCTAGTGTGGCTCAGTTGGTTGGGCATCTTCCCAAGAGGTCACTGGTTCGATTCCTGATCAGGGCACTTGCCCGGGTTACGGGCTCCATCCCCAGTAGAGGGCACCAGGGATCCTGCAGGAGGCAGCCCATCAATGTTACACTCTCACATCGATGTTTTTCTCTCCCCCTCTCCCTTCCTCTCTCTCTAAAAATCAATAAACTATTCTTAAAAAAAAATAATGATTCAAAGAATACTGACCCAAGTGGGGAAAATGTTCACAGTGACGTGAAGAAGATAAAACCAAGAGAAACTTGATAAAAATTTTGTGAAATGTTATGTAAGTTATCTATACATGTTACCTATATGCACATAAAAAAGACTGGAAAGAAATATAGCAATAGTTTAATAGTGGCTATACTACGTGATGACACTGCAGCTAATTTAATTTCTCCTTTATACTTCTGCCTAGTACTAAGCCAGGTATCAGGGGTACAGTGTTCTTAATACGTTTTCAAAGTGCTCACCATGGGAAACAGTGTAGCACGGTTCAGATCTTGAAGGCAGATTTAGATTTGAGTTCTATGCCATATTTACTAGCTATTTAATTCTACAAGAGTCTCATTTTCTGTAAAATGGGGATTTTACACATTTAGTATTTCAATAAATTCAATTTCCACATATTTTGACCTCTGTTCTCTGCTAGATCCTGGGGATATAGCAGTCTTCACGAAACTCACACTTTAATGGGGATGGTAGGCACTCAATAAATAATTTAAGTATAAAAGACATTTTAAAAATGACAAGTGTAGGTACTGTAGAATATGCAAAAAGGGTGACTTAATTCAGTCTAGAAGGTCAGAATAGCCTCTGAGGAAGTCATGCTGAATCTGAGATATGAAACAGAAGTAAACTATACAAATGACATGGACACGCCTCTGTAAGGGAAGAATACATTCCAAGTCACAGAGTTCAGGTGAAAGAAGTCCAGTATGACTGCAGTGCAGGGCAGGACAGAAGAGTGACACAGGTAAAAGCCCAGTAGCTGGTACAGACTAGGCTGTGAAGCTCTGTTAAACCTATACAATTTCCTAGGGTAGTGAGAGGTCACTGAAGACTTAAGTGACTTTCCCAAGATCACATAGTTAATAAATGATGAAGCTAAAATTTGAACTCCAGAAAATTTGACTCCAAAGTTCATGTTAATCACAGAATATATATTTTAAAATGCCTACAACAGAACTTGTCATCAAAATGCATTGAATAAATAATAGCAATATTATATACTTTAATATTAATATTATGTAATTCTTTAAGATAAAGAAGAGAGGAAAAATGGTGATGTAAGTGGAGATGATGAGGAGACAATAATGAAAGATAGGTAATAAAAACTAATAGAATTTGTGAATTAATTTAGTGGTAAGGCAGTGGAGAAGTATAAAATTATTTTAGATGGCCAAAATGTTCATATTTGCTTCTCAGACAAAGAAAAATATACAGCTTTAACATTCAAATACATATAAAGTATTCTGTTTAAAGTCTGTTTCTGGTAAACATGTAAACTTGAAACATAAATTCCTTCTGAAATAGGCCTTAGGTTTAATGATAATTGGAAATAAAGCTAAAGTTTCAAATAAGGGCATATATAAAGAAAAGCCTTCTAAAACTAATAAAAGTAATCCTTACATGTGTGTTCCAATTTCCTTTACTTCATGGTGTATGACATCATCAATACAACAATCGGGTTTAAGTTCAGCCACTGCAGCATTGGAGGCTGAAAGATTTAAACGCTGAGAGCTTGTCTGAAGATCAGCCTTGAAAGAAAGTGGTAAGAAAAATCCAAATAAGATTGGTTACCTACACGGTGTGGATGGGTATGGGTGCAAAGAACAGGGGAACAGGAGCAAAGTAGTAGGATGAAGGAGGAGCAATACTTCTCTGTGTAAATCTTTCTGTAGAGCTCTGATGCTTAGAACCACGGCAATGGTTCACATACACATGCACATCAAAAATAAATAAATAAAATCAACCAGGTAATGGGAGAATTCAAAATTAAATACAAAAGACTCATATTACTATAGAGGGTGTTCTTGACCTCGGTATGTAAAAAAAATCTCCAAACTGCACAGAATTCAAAGCCACAAATAGTGTTCCTCTATACAAAAATACTTAAAAGAAGAAAACAGATAATGAGAATTTAAACAATTCACTGATAAAAACTGCCACCCCAAACCAAGTATGAAACAGAAAAAAACACACAAGAAAAAAACCCTATAATTCCTCAAACTAAATAAAATACCCTCAAAACAAAACAAAACAAAACACACACATTTGGACCTATGAAAAAATCTTGAATCAGAAATTTCAAAACTAAAGCAAAAATTTTTAAAAAGTAAACATGCTGACTGAACTAAAAAAGATAAAGACTATGTCAGAAATGAAGACTAAATTACAAGGCATCCACAGAAAGATAGATCTGAGTAAAAATTTACTAAGGGGCACTAAAGAAAAGCAGGCAAAGAAGAACCAATTTACATACAGAGTTTGTAAAATGATAAGGATAACTTTCTGGAAATAAAATTTATTAATCTATAAATTGAAAGGGTCTACTTGGTATCGAGAAATCACATCCAAAACTAACTCTGAATCCTATAGAAAAAAATCCCCAGGGCTTCCAGAAAAAAAATTATCAAGTAACTTACAAGGCAAGAGAATGAGACTGGAATCATTCCTCTCAAAAACAACATATATAGCTAAGTAACAAAGGAGTAGCATTTTCAGAAAACAAAGAAAATGTAAACAAAGAATTTTGGCATTTTCAGGAAACATAAGGGAAGCAAATGTAAAGAAGGGATTTTATATCTAGCCAAACTGTCCTTCATGCATAGAAAAACACTTTGAACATGTAAGGACTCAGAGAATGTTATACCCACAGCACTTCCTTAGTCATCTACTTGAGAAATTTCCATCCAACCAATATGCAAATAAAAAAGAAGATATATGACACAGAAAAAGGAAAGTGGTGTAAGCAATAGCTGTAAGTTAAAGAATGCTATTAAAGACTAAGTACTCTACAATGGTGGGGAGAGGGACTGGGAAGGGATGGGACGGGGTGGAACAGGTCATTGGGGAGAAAAAGGGACATCTGTAATATTTTAAATAAAAATAAAATTAAAGAAAAAAAGACTAAGTACTCTATAGTAAGCAGTCAAGTAATAAAATGGAAGGGGTAGCATTATAAAAGGCAGAAATATAAAGGTAAAAACTAGAAAAAAATACAAACTTTCCTAAATACCTGCCCCAATTTTTTTTTTAAATAAATGAACAACAAAAACACATCATGTGGAGATAAAAACATAGCACATGTAGCATAATACACTTAATATTTAAATACTGAATAATGTGACATAATTGAAACCAAGCACATCAAACTTATCAATATATGTGAATGAATTAAATTCATCTAGTAAAAAAAATTCAATTTGCCTCACAAAGTAAGACCCAATTTATGTCATATAAAAGAGACATAAATAAAAACAAAATTATTCAGAAAGGCTGAAAATAAAGAGATGGGCACAGGCAACCAGGCAAATGGGAACAGTATGAAAGTGAGAGTAGTGGTGAGTAGTGATACAGATATTACAGCTACGATTTAAGCCAAAAATAAAATTAAACAAAAATAAAAGGAGGATACTTTTAGTGCTAAAAAGCCACAATTCTCAATGGAGAATAATTATATAAATACATATATACCAAACAGCACAGTCTTTATAAGGCAAAAAGCGTAAGCGATATAAGGAACTACAAATAGAAACTTACTAATACTGTAAGACTGACATGCCACACTCAGTACAAGACAGAGCAAGTGGACACACAAAAAAGTAAAGATATAAAAGACCTAACAAAACAATTGATAGGGTAAATAATAGAAAATACACCTGCTTCTCAAGTGCACATGGAACAGTCATTAAAAATTAATATTAGGCCCTAGCTAGTTTGGCTCAATGTTTAGTGTCGGCCCGAGGACTGAAGGGTCCTGGATTCGATTCCAGCCAAGGGCACGTACCTCGGTTGCTGGTTCAATCCCTGGCGCTGGTCGGGGCTCGTGCAGGAGGCAACCAATTGATGTTTCACTCTTACATTGATGTTTCTTTCTCTCTCTTTCCTTCTCTCTCCCTTCTACTCTCTCTGAAAAGCAATGGAAAAAAAATATCCTCAGGTGAGGATTAAAAAAAAAAATTAATATTAGGTCACAAAGAAAACACTGGTTAAGTTCTATAAATAGAAATATTGTAAGAACAATACTGTCTGAATACAACACAATAAAATTACAAATTATTAATTTAAAAAGGCCTTTCTATCAGAAAATCCTATTAAACAACTCTTGGGTAGGCAGGGAAATACAAAAGAAATTACAGATTTCTTTAGAAAGCAATCATAATGAAAATGCTACATATCAGAATCTGGAGATAAAACCTAAAGCAGTGAATCAGAAGAAAATTCACTTTCATCAATGAAAATATAAGAATAAAAATAAATTAAATCCCCAGCTAAAAAGTAGAAAAAGAACAAAGTAAATAATCAGAAGCACAAAGAGATAGTTAAAAGCAAAAATTAGAATAGAAAAGCAATAGACATAAAGCAATGAACCAAGACCTAGCTAAACCAAATCAAGAGAAAAAGAAAGCAAAAATATGCAAAATAAGAAATGACCAGGGAAAAAGAACACTGAAGCAGAAGGAATTTTCAGACTATTATGAAGACCTATATACAAATAAATTTGAAAATCTACATAAAATGGATCATTTCCTAGAATGAAGCAGTTTTACAAAGTTTACACAACTAGAGATAGAAAGCTCACATACACTAATTTCTATAGGACAAAAGTGAAAATGCTATCAAGGAACTTCCCACACAAAACAGCACCAGCCCACATGATTTCACAGGAGAATTCGACAAGCCCTTTAAGGACCAGATAGTCTAAATGCTCCATGTATTGCGCCAAAGCACTGAAAATGAAGGAAAACTTCCTTAATCTTTTATTAAGAAACCATAACATTGATACCTAAAGCTTGATAAAGAAAACATGAAACCCCTAGCCAGTTTGGCTCAGTGGTTGGCCTAAGGACTGCAGGGTCCTGGGTTTGATTCTAGCTAAGGGCATGTACCTTGGTTGCAGGCTTGATACCCGGTCCAGTTGGGGTGAGTGCAGGAGGTAACCAATCAATCTCTTTCTCAAACTAATGTCTCTCTCTCTGTCTCTCCCTCTCTTTCTCTCTCCCTCCCTCCCTC